ATTTGTGATATTTCTCCTTGTAGGAATGGATTAGGATATTATAGATTTAATTCTAAAACGCCTTCTAGAAAAGAATAGTATATGATGAATTAATAAATTAATTAAAATGATTTTAAAGATGATCCTTATGATTATAAAGCTTGTTCAAATTAAAGAAGTAAATCCCCTTTACCATTATAAAAAAATTAATAACATTAATAATTATAATAATATAGTTTTTAAGTTTAGTAATAGAATAAAGATTAATCTTAGAAAATGAGAAATAGTGATTTTTTAGGATATACTCATAATAATAATAATGTTTATAATAATAATAGTAATTAATTGGAAAGTAGGTTTTGTAATTTTATATCTAGTTATAATCATAATATGAAATATGATGATGACATTATAACTAAAAATATTATTTAAAATGTAAAAGTAAATAATAATTATATGAAAAGATATAATAATAGAAAATAATGTAGTCTGACTAGTTTTGATTTAGAAGAGTTAATTTAAAAAGATAATAATTAAATTGAAAGAGGAGATACTTTTGATAATTGTAATGATAAAAATAATAATATTAATGAAAATAATAATAAATTTAATGAGAAAAATAATAGTTTTAATTATAATAATTAAAATTTTAATGAAATTAAAGATAATTTTAATTATAAACATTATAATATTAATGAGAAAAATAATAATTATAATATGAAAAATAATAATTTTAATGAGATTAATAATAATAATTTTATTTATAAAAATAATAATTTTAATGATATTAATTATAATGAGAAAAATAATAATTTTAATTATAATAATTATAATTTTAATGATAATAATAATAATTATACTGATATTAATTATAATTATAATTTAAATGGCAATAATAATAATAATTTTAATGAGAAAAATAATTATTTTAATTAGAAAAATAATGATTTAAATGATAAAAATTATAATATTAATCAGAAAAATAACTATTATTCAGATTTTACTATTTATTAGAATAAAGAAGTTGAGGAAATTATAAAAAAATATAGTAGTAATAATATATATGAAAGTAATAATATTTGAATTAATTATATAAAAATATATATTTAATTACTTTATGCACTTTTTTAAATAATTTGAAATTTTTTTATTTTTATTTTTAGTAAAATGTTTTTTTCTATTTTTTAATTTTAAATATTTAAATTTTTAATCCTTAATTTTATTTTTAAAATATATTTTATTTTTATTTTTTATTTTTTATTTAAAAATAAATAAAAAATGATTATATCTTTTATTAGACATTGCTTTTCAATTGGAGCATAAACAAAATTTGAATAGGTAAAAAATCAAATTTATATGTATAAATATATATTATATATATATATATATATATATTATATATATTATTTTTATAGGCAAGATTAAGAGCTACATTTAGTGGAGATTTTGAACCAGCATCAGAAAATGATATTTAATGTAAAATATAAGATTTAAAAATAAAAAATACATATAATATAAGAAATAATAAAAAGCTTTTAAGGAGATGATTAAGAAACAAATGCTGAAAAAGCATTCAAAGTAATAGTTACAAAATTATAATTTAGCGAATCAAATAATAAATGGAATTATTTATTAAAGAATTTAATATTATTAGATAGATGTGTAGAATTGAGATGCTTTATTAAAGAAATATAAAACTTAAATATTCCTCAAGTAGATAATTTTAAATTAAATGAATAAATGAGAAACTTATAATAATATAATTGTAATCAAAAAAATAAAATAAAAATTATTATTTTATTTAAATTTTTTGGAGAAAAAAGATATTCCTAGAATTGATGAATTTATAAAAAAATATTTTAAATTGATTAAGTAAAAAAGTAGATTATATAATTTAAAATATTCAAGCTTTAATATTGTAAATAAATAAGAAAAATTAGCTATTTTAGATAAAATGTCTTTTAATACAATAATAAATGAATTCTAAAACTATTAGAATGTTTATAATATTATAATTGATTTATCATAAACAAATGAAAAATGTAAATACTAATTTATTTATCTATTTATTTATTTTATAAAACCAAAGAAATATTTAAAAGGGGATATTTAGAATTTTAAGTTAATTAATATTGCTTTTAATTACTTTTAATTTCTATTTTAAATTTTTATGGATCAATTTAAATGATTATAATCATATTTTTATGTATATATTTATATAAATTATTCTATTTTTAGTTTTTTTTTTTTATTTCATTATTATTTTTAAATATCAGAAAAAATAGAAAATTATAATTTAGAATAATTATATAAAATATAAGAAATACATAATAAATATTATTAAGATAGTTTTTTATTAATAGATTTTATTAAAAATCATAGTTTTATCTAAAACTTTAATGATTTTGACTTTTAAAATTTTAAGTTATGTCTATAAACTGATTATTTTTTAAAAAGTTTTATTTAAAATAAATAAACCCGATCTTAAATTTTATTATAAAATTCTTTTATAATACAAAAAAACGAAGAATTCAATTTTTTTTTAAATGAATAATAAGAAGGATTAAAAAGCTAAAAATAAATTTCTTACTAAAATATTTTTTTAATTAATCCAAAAATAAATTCTTAGAAACATTTTTTAGATTCTGCCTTATAAAAATTAGATAAAAATTTATTTCAAATTATTAAAAATATATATAGTAGAGATTAATAATAATAAGAAGAAGAAGATTTAAATTTATTTTAAGAAAAAAGTAATAATGAATTATCAGAATATGTTAAAAATGATCAAATATAGATAATATAAAATATTATTAATGAAGAATACATATAAGGAATGAGTAATCCTTTCTTTTAGTTATAAAATTTTAATGACGAGCTTTTTAGTTCTTTTGAAAATAATTATAGTAGAAAAATATAATAATGATATTTTTTTATATATATATATATAAAATATATATATATATATATAATATGGCAAATTTATCTGATATTGAAATTGAAATATTTTTTTTTTGTTATAAAAAAAAAAGTGTATTTTTTTTTTAAAAAAAAAAAAAAAAAGTTTTAAATTTTTTTATTTTTTTTTTAAAAAAAAAATAAATTAAATAAAATAAAAAAAGCAAAAAAAAATAAAAAAATGAATTTAATAAGTCCAACTTGTCCAAAATATAATGAAGGAAATCCAAATACATAATTAATATACAATTTAATATAATAAATAATGCCAAAAAAGATAAAAGAGTAAACTTTAAACCAATACTTAAGTTATTTTATGAGAAATCTTTCAATTCATTAATCTTCTCCATATATATATAATCCAAATATTATATAAAGTGTTCTTTTATAAGTAAAATCTCCTTTAGAAAGGGAGAATTTATAAGGTTTATTAAATACATTAGAATAGAAAAAAATATTAAAAAACAAAGAAAAAATATTACATTTATTATTTTTATTAACAAATTCAAATGAAATTCCTTAAAAGATTTTATAGATTTCGCGCTGTTTTTCACCTTTGGTAAACGATAAAAATAATAAGAATAATTTGACTTTAAATAGTACATAAGAAAGTATATAGAATTCCCATTAAAAATTTAACAAAAAAAGCACTTAAAAAATAACTGAAGAAAATTTAATAAAAGACTTAATTTTCGTCCTTTAATAAATTGACGGAACATATATAAAATTCAATTAAAAAGAAAAAAAATATCAATTAGATCCTACATATGAGATTTAGAGTACTTCTTTTGCCTAAATAATCTCTAAAATATCCCAATTAGCCTAATTATATTAAAAAATCGAAAGTTATTTGCAAGTTTAATCAATAGATAAAATCCGGTAAGCCTTAAATTAATAATTAAGAACCGAATTAAATGAATATTATAGACTTATAGTAGTTTTGGAAAACTAGAAATAAAATATGAAATTTTCTTAGATCATTTTGTGGATTTAGGAAGGATTGGAAAAATTAAAGTGGATTTTTGTAATTATTGAGGCTTCTAAAGGTAGTGAAGGAATGTAGATTATTTCTTAGATTTATGTTTATTTATAGACTGGAAATTTAGATGTAAAATAACTCTTTGGAAGGCTATTAGAGAAAGCTTTGGCCAGTTTTAATTTGTAGGTTAATTAATGGATTTTTTATGGCAGTTTAGTAGATTTTGGATAAGCTTTTTTTATCAAAGAAGGATTTTTGGAATAGGAATAAGCCAAATATTACTCTGAATTTATATGGAATGGGAAGTTTTAGATCAATTTTTAGTAGATTCCGTGCTTTTTGCGTTAGAGGGAGGTTCAGAGAGCCTTTAATGTGGGAAAGAGTGTAATCTTTTTACAGAAAATATGCGAATAAGGGGATTGGAAGGTCAATTTAAATTTGCTAAATGCTAAGAACCGAGAGGATTTGGAAGAAGAGTTCCCTTGATGGTTAAATGAGGCTTATAAATAGACTAACAAGTAACTATTAGACGCTCTTAATAACAAATTTGAGCTAAAAGTGCATTTAAGGAACATTAAATTATTTCTATTATAAGAATAAGGTGATTTTATTACATTATTTATTATAAATAATATAGGAAAGTGGGTATATGGAGTAAAGCTCAGTACATATATAGAAAGTTTAACTAGTATAATTTGTAGAAAATGCAGTTAGAATGTGTAATTTGAAAATAAAAGGAGGTGTTTTAGGGTGTTGTTTAGTTGATTTTTCAGGAAAAAGATAATGCGTTTTTCAAAATGGGTGGGATGTCTTTTGTATAGAGTATAAAATTGGAGCTCCTGTAGATTGCATTTTTTCAGTGGGGAAAATGGAGAAATATAAACGTGTTTTTAACTTTTTGTGGAGAGTGAAAAAATGTGGGCTTTTTTTGGGAATTATATGGAGGGATTTTTAGGGGTTTTAAAGGAATTTCGAGATGAATAGGAAAAAGAAAAAATGCTTTTTGGAAAAAGAAGAGTTTTTGGAAAAATATAATATATTTTTTAATTCCTTTTTAAAATGTGTTTGTGGAATTAGGAATTAAATGAATTTATTTGTAAATAATTTCCATGATTATGCTTTTGTAGAAATTGAAAGGTTTTGGAAGAAATTTATGCAAGAAATTGAAGAAAAAGGAGATTTAGAAGGTATTATGGAAAGTCATGAGGCTTTTTTAGAATAATTGTGTCAAAAAATGTTCCTAAATGAAGAAAATGGAAACGGTTTTGGCAATATTCGAGAAGGCTTTGGCAATTATAGGATAGTTTTGTGGATTAGTTAAGGTATAATTGCTTCATTTTAGAGAACTTTTGGAAAGAATTTAGGAGATTGTGAATTGTTTGGAGATTAAATAGATTATTTAATAAGGATATGACTAAAATTAAGAAATGGAATTAAATGATATTTAAAGTAAATTTAAAATTCCGGATTAAATTTTAAATATTAAAGATAATTTTGAGAAAGTAGTTATGGAATTTATGAATGTCTTGAAATAATAAAATGTCAATATTTTACTTTTTTAAATGGATTTTAATGAATTTTATTAATTCTAAAAAGCTTAAATTTTAAGTAATAGAAGGTTATATCTATTACAATAGTAATAAAATTTAGATAATATAGAATATACTAGTAATTAAAAAAATAAATAAAATAATAATAATAATAAAAATAATAATAATAATAATAATAATAATAATAATAATCATAATAATAATAATAATGATAATGATAATGATAATGATAATGATAATGTTAATAATAATGATAATGATAATGTTAATAATAATGATAATAAGTATTTTTAGTAGTAATAGTTTACAACTTTAAAAAAATAAAAAATAGTTGGATTAAATTTATAATATATTAATAATGGTTAATTTTTTTCCTGATATTTTTATTTTTTTTTATTTATAAAAAATCTATATTTATTATTGTTATTCTTTGTATAATTTTTTTATCTAGTTTTTTTAATTTAATAATTTATTTACAAAATCTTTTTAAAGAAAATAATATAATTTAAAATAATAATAAATGAATACTTTATAAAAAAAATTAAATAAAATTTATTATTATTGAAAATTTTAATTTTACAAAAAAATTAATTATAATCTTAATTATTTTAAAATTATAAATATAAATAAAAAGAATGATTATATATTTATACAATAAAATATATTTATTACTTATTCTTCAATTACACGTAAAAGTATATATTATTTACTACTAATTGAAATTAATTAAAAACACATTACAAACTCCGGACATTATTTACAAATTCGGAAAACATTAAGCCACCAAAGTATTCAAAAAGAAAATATTTCCATCAAAAACAACTGGTTATCCTGCCTAAAAATCCTATAAAACGCCTTAAGGTAGGTATTCATTTGTAAGATTTAATACTGAATTTTTACTTATATTATATATTTGCATAGTATTATTAGGAATTTATTTTCTTCCAATAAATCCTCCAAATAGTAGAATTTGTTCATTATTTATTTATATTGCATAGCCTAGTTAACGGGGAATATAGCATCTATAATTTAATGGCTTTTCTAAGAAATTGACTATTTTTTAAGCTTTTAAACAAAATATTTCTATAGATTAAGAAATATTGACTTTGTCCTCAGTACCTCCAAATATATATATTTAATTATTATTAAAAATAGATAATAATGGGTTTATGCGATATTTATGCATTGTTTAGGGAAGTATTTCCCATTTATTTTCCTTTATAGAGTATTTTTCTATTGAATTAGTTTTTATTTTTTCATTTTTTTAAATCCCGCCGAATATATATATATATTCATTATTTTATAAAATAGAACCGAATTTACTTTTTTTATAAGGCATTTTCTATATTTGGTAAATATTTCCGTCTTTAATGGAGATTTTGAAATTTTTTTTGGAGGGAAAAAATACGTTTTTTTCGAGGTTAAATTTTTGCCCGCACAAAAAATAAATGAAATTTTCGTCATTTAAAATTTGAAAATTATTTCTTTTAAAAAAATCACTTGTTTTTTCAGCGTTTTTTATTGGCAGTTTTTTGAAAATTCTTTCTTAAGTATTATATATGTATATGTGATTTTTATCTATATTGTTATAATATAAAGGAATTTCGTTACTTTAGCTTGCATTTTCTATTAGAAAAGGAGGTTAGAAGTATTTTTGGCTGTGCGATATAGATATGGAAATGTAGTTTTGTAAAGAAGTGAATAATTCATATAGATTCTCATAGATTATGTTAAATTTTGGACCTATTTAGTTATTTTCAGCCATTATTTAATCAAATGTTTCCTTTAAAAAATCCAAATATTGATCATAATTAAAAGATAAGAATTCTTAGAAATCATTGGAAGACTTACAGTTGTTATATAAATTTATTTAAGCCTATAATCGGGACAAAGCATGCAAAAATATTGCCCTTTTTTTACATTTTTTAATCTTATAATCATATTCGTGTTAGAATAAATCTTTTATACTGGCAAAGTAAGATTCCAAACCTTCAATGGCATATTTTTTATATTTGTTAATCCTATCGATTTCATCTTTAGAATATTAAAAATTATAAAGTAGAGGCTTTAATTTTGAATTATATTTAAAATGCTCGCTTTTAAGTTTTTCAATTAATTATTTACTTTTTAATTACAAAGTCTAAATAGATAATTTATTTAAATTATTAATAATTTCTTGAAAAGTATCATTTTTTTAGAAAGAAGGTATTTCTTATATTATATTTTATTAAAATTCTTCTTCTTCTTCTCTTTGAATTTAAAAAGTATCTTTTTTTTTCTTCTTTATAAATTGTTGAGCAGCTTTTTTCTTAATTAAATTACGATTAAATTATGTAAAATTATTATTATTATTATTATTATTATTATTATTATTATTATTATTATTATTATTATTATTATGTATAATTATTAGTATAATTATTATTATAATTATTTGTATTATTGCATGTATTATTATAATTATTATTATTACTTGTAAATTCTTCAACCATTTATTTTGATATAGTAAATGTACTATTAATTTTTTATTTTTCGATTTCTTATATTTATATTAGTTTAAATATTTCTTCGTTTAAACTTTCTTCTGAGGAACAACTACTTGTTGGTATACGAATTTATATTTTATATGGGGTTTTTTCCTCAATATTTTACTCATTGTTTATTTTTGTGTTTGTTTAACCTATGTTTTAAATTGTTTACATTACGTTTGGGACTGTTTATATTGTTATATGTTCTTTTTAGTGGTGTGTTTTGTGACATTCGGTACAGTACACTTTATTACATTAAATGCAAAATGTTTTAATTGTTAGAATTTATTTACATAATGCACAATTAGTTGTGTTTTTATTCATTTTTTTATTTTTAATTAAATATATTTTTTTTTTTTTTCTTTCAAATAAGATTTTTATTTTATAAAATTAAGAGAAAACTTACTAATTTTTTTGTATTTTTTTTTTTTTGGAAACAAAGTTTGTATTTTTTTTTTGGTTTTTTTATAAATTTAAAAAATTATTATATATTTTTTTATTTTTAAAAAAAAAAAAAATTAGCATTTAAATAATTCTTCTTTTTTTTATTAATAAAATAAAAATAAAGTTATCATATAATTTTTAAAAATATAAACAATAAAACAACAATATATTCAAAAGAAAATAATTAAATAAAATTAATAAATAAATTATCTGATAAATGTCGTTAAAAAAAACAGCTAAATAAATAGAGATATTTTAATAACAGAAATACAAGAAATAAATATTATTTAAGGACCTCCATCTAAAGTAAATTATAACAAAATTACTTCAAGTTAACCTCACTTAAATTAGCAACATGATTATTTATATTATTAATAAAAATTACAATAATAACCATAATTGCTTTTGACTTAATAAACTCGTATACACCCATAATAAAGAGTATAAAATCTGGCACATTAACCTAATTCTGCTTTTAAATAAAAATGGGAAATAATGACAAAAATATAAATTATAAATAAATTTTTATAAAATATAAAAAACTAAACTAGTAATTTAAACTGGAAATATTTGTAAAAATTCCATTTTGGTTTAATAAATGATAAGTCATATTATTTTTTTGATTAAACTATGTAGATATTGAAATATCAAAGCTTTTATTTCTTGAATAAATTGCATGTTTTTTAACCAGAAAATAAATTAATTATTAACTGGAAGATTTTTTACATTATTATGTTAATTATATAATTGATTGTCGTTCCTTTTTAAATTTCCTTTGGAACAATTGATCAATAAGTATTCTATATTCTACCCATTATAGTATTTTTTATTGATATTTTTATCTAAATAAACACAGGATATTACGAAGATGGGGCTAAATAGTTAGATAGAAATCATATTTTAGGAAATTATAAGCATTAATTTTTAATAGATATAATCGTGATTACTTCTTATTTTATAGGTTATTTAATTTCTTCTTGCTTTATGAAAATGTTTATATTTTTAAAACTTTACCAATTTTAAAATTTGAAATAGGATATTATTCAAAGATATTAAGTAGACTAAAGATGCTCTCATTTATATAGGCTCGTGAGTCTACTTTTAATGGTAGTTTATGTGGCTCATGTCTGTGGGTGTATTTTTCATCTTATTTCTATGAATGAGATTTAAAGGGGAAACTTATAAACTTGGCTTGTAGATTAGTAGATTTAACATGATAATAATTTAATAAAATATTTAAATTCTTTGTATTTCTCGATTATTACTATGGTTACAGTTGGGTATGGAGATATTAAACCAGTTGCTGTTTTGGAAAAGATTTTTGTTATTATTATGGTCTTACTTGGGTCATTGGTTTTTGCTTATACTGTTAATACGATAGGGAGTATTTTTCAAGAATTGGCTTAAAAGGAAGCTGATTTTAAGTAATCGTTTAATTTCTTTTATATTTTTTTATTTTTATTAAAGCTAAAAAAGATATGAAATGTCAGTTTATATGAGGTCTAGGTAAATTAATATTGATATTTAGGTTAGGGTGATGAAATATATGGAATATATTAAAAGATAAGAAGATGATAATCCGATTAAAGGAGAATAGATTTTGAATTGTCTTTCTAATAATTTAAAAAATGAAATATAGAAAGATTTTTATGGGAGAATACTTAAATCTTCAAAGCTATTTAATTTGAAATTTTCGAATGAATTTCTTTTAGAATTATCAGTTTATTTTAAAGAAAGGGTTTGTGGGCCAGGCGAGATTGTCTATTAATAAGGATGTTAAGAAGAAAATGATATTTATTTTGTATAAAAAGGAACTGTTGAATTAATTATTGAATATGGAAAAAATTAAAAATAATTATTTAGTGTTTAAGTAATTTTTGTTTGTTAATTTAATTTTTTTATTTAAATTTTTTTAAGTAAGGGAAGTTTTTTGGAGAAAAGGAATTTTTCTACGGTAGTATAAGAGAAAATACAGCAAAATGTGTAAAAGAAACTCATTTATTAAAATTAGGATATAAAAATTTTATTAGCGTATTGAAAGAATTCCCTAATGATTTTGTATAAAAATTATAAATATATATATAATGAATAAATGAATAAATATATATATATATATATATATATATATATATATATATAAATAGGAAAAATTTTGCTAAATAAAAGATTTCATGTAAATATATTCTATATGTGAGAATATTTCATGTATTTCTTGTGGAAAATACAATCATTTTATAACTAATTGTCATTTAATTCATTATAAAAAATCAAAGGAATAATTCCTTGCGAGATATACTTATTCTTAAGAATGTTTTGAAAGATAATAATAATAAAAGAAATATCGTAGGAAGGAATTCGAAAGTTTAAAATAGAATTATGAAGTAAAATTTGCTTTGAAATAAACAAGAATAAAGTATTTAGATTAAAAAATAGACGTTTATTTGACTGATAAATAATTTTTTAAATAAGCTCCTCGAATAATATACGAAAATGAAGAATTTAAATAAGAAATAAACAATCGAAAATTCATAACTAGATAAGATGATGAAGAAGATGAAGAAATCTTAGAAAATCAAGGAGAAATGCTTTTTTAAGATGAAACCGAAGAAAACGATGACTTTATTTCTTCAAATTAAACATTACTAAATAATGATAATAAAATAATATCAGATGAAATTGATATTAATTAAGAAAAATTATTAAAATCTTCTAATATAAATAATAATTATATAGCTGAAGATACAAATTCTGAGTAAAAAAATAAAAAAGGATATAAAAAATAATAAAATATTTCCTTTATTTAAATGATTAAAAAAAAATAGTCTTTAAGTCAGTTAAATAGTATTAATTCTTTACCTATTTTTTCTAAAAAAGATACTAAAATATAGTCTCCAATATGTAATTAAAAACTATAGGAATCAAATGAAAATATAAGCCTACATTTGATAAATGAAGAAGATGATAGTTAGGAAAAAAAAGATGAAAATATACTCTAAAATATTGAATTTGAAAAGGTTTCTTTAAAAAGTGTTGATTTTGAATCTTTTCCAAATATAGTGAATAAAAAAATTAAATAAAAATCATTAAAGACTATTGAAAATTCGTTAGTTTTAAAATATAAGAAATAATAATAGAAGACGGAAAAAAATATTGATAATTCGCTTATAGAAAGAACTTTATCTTAGAAATAATAAAACTTTTATAATTAAATAGAATTACTTAAACAACATAGTTATAATAAATTAAATGCTAGGAGAAATTATAAATTATAGAATAGTATTTTTTAAATAGAAGACAATAATAATTTGAATAATGATAAATATAATATTATTTAGAAATAAAATATTAATCCTTAAATTAAATAAATTCTCAAAGATAACAAAGATCAAATCAAATAATAGAGTAGAAGCATGACTAATTAAATGATAGAATTTGGAAAAAAAAATGGAATATCTAATGAAGAGACTTTTTTGTAAAAAATATAAGAATTATTTACTAAAGATGATAAAAATGGAAATTTTTAATTATAAAGAAATAGAAGATAAAGCTAAAACTAAAATTAAAGCTAGTTTTATCATATTCATTAAATTATTTAGTAAAATTAATAAAATTAATTCTATATAAATGATTTTGAGTGTTTAAAAGAATATGAGTATTATTTTAAACATAATAATGCGTCGAATGTTATAAAGCATATTAAATATAAGTAAAGAACTAAAAAATAATAATAGTTTATGTAGAGTAGATATAAATAGAAAAAACATTTTTATACATGAAATTAAATTATATAAAATTATAAATAGATTTATATATATCAATATATATATATATATATATATATTTATATATATAGATATATATATATATTTTTTAATTTTTATAGATATTTTTTTTATTTTATTTTTAATTTTAATAATTTTATTAATTTATAAGTTAATGATCTTTTTCTATATATTTTTAAATTTATTAGAAAATTTTATTTTTAATATTAATTTTATATATATAAATAAAATTATATTTTTCTATATTTGTAAATTAAGGAAGTTTATTTTTATTTTCAATATTATATATATATTTATCAAATATATATTATAATAAAATCTATTTGTTAAAATATAATAAATTAATTTTTTATTTATTCTCAAATTATTTAAAATGAAAGCATTTAAGTTTTAATTTTTATTTCAATTACAAAAATTAAATATAGCAATATCTTTTCCTTGCTAAATTCAGATATTATTAAAAAGAGGTCAATAAAAATTAGAAAGCAAATTATTTGATTTAGTAAATGGCTAAGTAAATTTTTAAGAAACACTAAACTTGGAAACAAATTTATATTTAGACAATGCAACGAAATAGTTTTTAGAAAAAAAAGCATCATTTACATTTATTATTCATACAGCAAAAGGGCAAAAAGTTGCTGGTGTTGTAAATGTAGATTTATCATCTTATGCTAACAATAAATAAATAAGTAAAAAAATCAATTTAAAAGTTTATTAAAAAAAATAATAGAAAAAGAGGAAAAATTTAATATCTAAAAATGTCCTGATAAAAATGCTAATTTTGAATTTATTATCTGCTTAAATATGATTTGTTAAGTAGAATTTGATTAAATTAGTTAGTAATCTACTATGACTAAGGCAAATGGAAATATCGAATAATTAAAAGAGGCAGATATTAAAGTTAAATAAGGAGATAATGATGTTAAAAAAAATGAAACTTCTTAAAAAAAAATCGATTCTTAAGAAAAAGCTGCTTTTGAATTAGAAAAAGAGAAGTTTTTGGCTTAAATTAAAGCTTTGTAGTAGAAAATTAAAGATGATTAAAATATAAATGAATAAAAAGTTAATTAGTTAAAAAAAGAAAATGAAGAAAAATAACATTAAATTAAAGATTTAGAAAACGCGTTAAAAGCTAAGAGTTAAAATCTTAATGAATGTTAAAAAACTGTAGAATATTTATAAATGGAAATTGTTAAATAAAAATAAAAAATAGGGGATATATATAATAAAGCTTTATAAGTTGGAGGAAATTAGTTAATAGAACAAATTTTGTATTGATAAATAATTAAATAAATAATTATTTTATTATACATTTATATATATATATAGATTTTTTTTTTTTTTTTTTTTTTCTTTAATAAAATTTTTAAGAAATTTATTATTTTTTGTTATGATGTATTTTAATGTTAATTTTTTTTAATATATATTATTTTAAAGTAAAAATAATTAAAGTAAAAAAAGAACAAAATAATATTTAAATATAATATATAATATAAAATAATTTTAATTTATTTTAAATATAACTTTCAAATAATATAATTATATAAAAAATATTTAATTTTTTTTTTTTTTCTTAATTTAATAAATATAATTAAAATATATTTATTTTATATATAAAAATTTAATGATTATATGAAATCTTTTATTTCTTTTTTTCATTATAATAAATTTATTGTTATTATTTTTCTTTTTTTTTTTATAAAAAAATAATTATTAGTATAAAAATTAAAAATTACAATAAATTATTGAATGTGTTTTCATCATTAAATAAAATGTTTAATAGCAAAATAAATTTAGATTAAGAATTTTTATTTTAATTAACTTTTAATAAAGCCCAGCATTTAATACATAAAACAATAGGCTAAGTTATGAAAAAATCATAAAAAAATCCGACTGAATATGAAATCGATAATTTGTCAAGTAAATCTCTATTTGCAATAGCAATCCAAGCGATAATAATATAATTACCTATTAAAACTATTAAAAAACACAGAGCGATAGCAATAATTTTAAATATCTTATATTTACTTGCGAATAAGTAGGTTTATAGTTTTATAATTATTGCAATAATAAAAGTAACTGTTATAGAAATTATAAAAACTATATATATGTTAAATCCTAAATGAAATCCTTACTAAATAATTTTTATAAAATATAAAAAGAATATGTTATTTGTATAAATAAAAAAAAAAAAAAAAATGTTTAATAATAATATAAATACCTTATCAAATAATAAATTCAATGATAATAAAATAAGAATTTATGAATAAAAAAGTGTAGCACGAAAAGGTCTTGAAAGTTTAGAATTATTAAAATAAAAAATAGAAAAGAATGTGTGATGGTACTATTAAAAATAAAAATAAGTAAATATAATAATATATATATAAATATATATATATATATATTTATATATTTATATATTTATATTTTTATAAAATTATTTATATACTTTTAAAAAATAAGAATATGTTTTTATAGAAAATTTTGTTTATTGTTATATTTACTAGATTATTTTATTAATATCTTTTTTATTATATTTCCTCAATATTTACTGTTGATTCAGATTCATTTTCTTCTTATTTTCTATATATTTCATTATTTTTTTTATCTATTTTAATTAATATCTAATTATCAATTAATTTTTTATTTTTTTAAATTATCAAATTTTTTGATGTTTTTGGTTATTCTTTGCTTTATAGTGAATTTTAACTTGTTTCACTAGATGATAATTATGCAATTGTTTACTAAGGAGATTTAAAATGAATCAGTTATTTAGAAATTTGATTTTCATTCTGAGAATAATTTGGAAATTTTTAAATGTCATTTTTATATAATTTATTATTTTTAAGATCTTCCATTTCTATGTTTTAATTTTTAGATTATTTTTATTTTGATTGATTATTAACCTCTTTTTTTTATTATAATTCGATACTTTCTTCTATATTTTCTTCTTTAATAACACTTTTAGGTCTTTAATTTTGCACTTTTCTATTTAAAAAACTTTGACTTTTTTTCGATCTTTCCTTATTTTCTGTTTAATCTATTTTTTAATTAGTTTCATCTAGTTCTATAGTTTTAAGGTTTTCGTTTGGTTTTTCAGTAAAATTATCTATATTTTATCTAATTTTTGGTCTTTTGTTTATAAATATTTTTCTTTTTATTCGATTGTGTTTAAATAAGAAATATCTTTAATTAAACTAGATTATTTGTTTAAATTTTATAGATTAATATTACTATTATATTTCAATTATTTTTATTATTAACTTTCATTTAATAGTATTTTGAATTTGGATTATATTTATTGTTTGTTTTAATTAATTGAATCTATTACTTCTGATTCATCTTACTATAGAACAATTTAATTATTTTATTTCTATTTGATTATTTTTTTTATTTAAGATTATAATTATTGCTAATTTTCTTGAGAATTTAAAGGCGATTCAGTTGTTTATACTGTCATATTACTAGTTAATGAAATTATATGTTATTTATTTTATGAATGTTATGTATTATAACGTTATTTAATTTTAAAAGGATAAATTTTGAATAGTTTTTTGTTTCTGTTTATTTAGTTTTTTATGGAGTTTATTCTTTGATATTTTATAGTTTTAATGATTATAGTATTAATTTAATCTTTTTTTACTATTAAGTTTATTTTTAGAAGATTTTTTATTATATTTTATATTCATATATCCTATTTTAAAATATATATATATAAACTTTATTTTTTATATTACCAGCTCCATATCAATATTAATATATATATTCCTGATTTGACAACTATTATTATAAAAAGACTGCTTCCTATAAAATCTCCTTGCATTATTTTAATAAATGCATTTTCTTAAAAAACCTTTTTAGCATTTTAGCCAAAATTGGTGTAAATACCGGATATATCTTCAACTACTGTAGCAGGAGTTTATCCTTAACATTAACATATTAATTATTAAGAATTTTATATTTTATCAATTTTAGTTTCACAGTTTTAGTTTCCCCACATGTTGCTTACTTTTCCAATGCAAACTAATTAAGTCTAATTCACTTAAGATGTTACAGGAAAAGAATAACTAAAAGGTTCTTAGGATTCATATTTTTGACCTTAATCATTTGAAATATCTATATTATAAATATTATATTAACTGTTTTTATATTAAAAAGAATCATCAGAGACAAATGGATTGTTCTTTTTGTATAAAATGTAAATACAATTTTTTATATATATATTTACCTTATATTATTCTAATTTATAATTATATATAGTAAATTCTTCATTTTAATTATTAGATTAAATTTATTTGTTTTGAAAATCATTAATATCTTAATTAGCAAATTTTTATTAAGTTATTATTTTATTTTATAGTTTTTTTGGAGTTACTTTACTTATTTATATATTATAATTATTTCCTATAATTGTTTTTGGTATTTCATTGGGTAACATATTTTATTAAAAAGACATTGATATTTATTTATTTAATTTCAACAAATTGTTATTTTATTATTTTAATTGTTAATATTCAATTGATTATAAATTTTATATATCAATAAGTTTTTTATTTTAACTTTATAATAATGCATCTAAAATTCCTATTGTTCTCACTAAATTATTCTCCACAGAATCTTTTATTCTTAATGTCTTATAATCAACAGAGTTATTTTATAAATTTTTCCTATATTATTCATTAATCTATTCTTATTATTTAATAAATTATTCTACGTTGGTATATATTTAACTAATTTCTATTTAACTTAAAGAATCTTTCATTTTTTTAGAATTTGTGAGTATTTTAATAGATTTTTATATTTATTAATAAATATCAATAGATGTAATTTATTCTTTATATTTTTCTAATTTTGTTATCGCTTTTTTTATATTATCTATGCTTATATCTTCCATTTCTTACATTTTTTCAGCTACAATATTAAGAAAAGATACTTCAGATTCGATTGTACCTTTTTATTTATCCCATATATCTAATAGATTCTTTTCATTAAAATCTTTGTTTTCGTTTACATGAATAACTTTTGTAATATTCCTTATTCCTCCTAAACCATCAATTATACTAAAAACAATCATTATGTAGTTCTATTTATCAATATTATCAAAGTCTAAAGGCATATCTTTATCTAATAGAGAACTTGGGAACTATTCTAATTTTCCAGGTGGTAATACAGATTAGAAATTTTGTAAAGTTCTAAAATCAGTTAATGAATTTAAACCTAAAGTTTAAGCATTATATATATCATTATCATAACTTTAAGAATTCATATAATATGAGAATTTATATTTTAATGGTTAATCTTCATCTTAACAATTACTTATTCGAAATTAAAATATAGTGCTATAAGCAATTCCTTCTTTAGGATTAATTTCTACTTCGCATTTTCCAGGAGGAAAATTTACAAGAAGATTAATACTAGTTTATGAAGGCATATAAAAATTAGGATCATATATACTAGCTCTGAAAGAAATAGTATTTGATTTAGTAAACTTATTGAAATAATTCCATATTCTGAATTTGAATGTTAAATAATCAAATCTTATTGTGGCTACATTATTAAAGTCATAAATAAGAACTCCAGCATAATAAAGATTATCAGGTGATGCATTTTTATATTTTAAATCAAGCTTTATTTCTTCGTCTAAGTTTAATTTTTTATTCATTAAATGAAGAGGAATATCTAAATCTAATTTAGGGAGATCTAGCTCACTAATTAATATTGTTACCTTTATTATATATATATATAAATATAATATGGATATTTATAAATCATATATATTATACTTTAGATGATTCAGATCTTTATCCTTTAGTTATTGTAAGCTTAAATTCATATGCATTATATGGAAGTAATATTTTTGGAGGGACAATTATTTACTTTTAATTAACTAAAGTTATATTGCATTATTCTCCTGTATTTAAATTTATACAATTCCAAATGTAATTTAGGTCTTTTAAAGAATCTTCTTCATTAAAAATATCAGGATCTTTTCCATATCCTTGTACTATTAAAGTATTTGCGAATCCACTAATTCTATTACCTCCTTCAATATAAGAAATAAGTTTTGAAGGTAATGCAACTATTTGTAAAGTTGAAATGGATTATAATGTATTACCATTAACTACTATTTAGGCAATAGCCTGTATATTGTAAATTTATTCAGGTAATAATGTAAAGTGGGGTATTTCTTGGACTATAATAATATTTTCGGGGGATTTAATTTATTCTATTTATTTTATTATTTGAGGTTTTCCAGTTGTTTATAACCAGATAACTTTCATTTCGTCTTTTATTTCAATAATTTTTCCCGCATCACATTTCAAGTGTGCAACTTTAGCAACTATATTAATTGGGTTTCGAGTAATAACAGTCAGTGGACTATCTTAATCAATTTAAATAAAAGGGGACTCAGTAGAACTCGTTTTAAATTAGTAAATAGAATACCCTTCCTAACCTAAATAATTCTAGAAAGAAACTTTAAAAATATAAACTGTAAACTCATCTAAATTTAAGGCTGGAATTTGTAAATAAAGTCTTTATTATTTATTAGTTTCTTATATGATATTTTCTAGGAAATGAAGTACTTAATTATTAGAAATTTCTGATTTATTCATTAAAAACCAGGTAATTTTCTCCAAAGGTCTTTTTCCTGTATTTTATGTACTGGCAATTTTAATTACTATTTCTGCACAAACACTGACATTTTCTTAAGGGCCAATTAGTTTTACAATTGGAATTAAATAATTTTATGGGGCTGAAAGTTTTTTGTTTTCAATTTATTGGAAAAACTGGGAAGTATTGCCACCATTTTAATTACAAGAAGAAAACATTAAAAATTTATTGGTTAATAAAATTATATCGTCTCCAATTTATATATTAGACATGCTTTAAAGTTCTATTATTATTTCAGTTTTTGTAAGTTTACATGAAGGGGCATCTCTACCTAATTTTATTATAGTTGAAATATCTAATAAATAAAAACAGTTTTCAATGCTAAAAGTATCCGAAGAAGCATTTACTCCCTAAAAGAATATTTCTTAACCAAAATCAACTATTATTTATTCCAAATTATCACTTAAATAAGATTATAAAACCGCTACTTAGCAAGTTGCGCAAAAAGCAGTGTTTAAATGGGACATATCAGTAGAGTTTTACGGACAAATACAAATCCCATTGTCTGTTCCTAGCCTATTTCCGGCACATTTACTACAATAAAATTCACTTTCGCAAGTACTGCAATGGAAATGACAATTTTTACAGATTGGATTTATACCATCATCATATAAACCATCTCGACAAGAACATAAAGGCACTCCTATTCTATCTGTTGTGGTGCTACATTTAGTACAATTAGTGGACCTTAGTGTACATTCGAGACATTGGTTTGCACATTTGGGACAATTTACGGATTTATAGTCTTCGAAAAAACCTATTGGACAGTCACAAAAGGGTGGATTTATTCTGTTTCCTCGACATATTTTGCAGTTTTGGTTTTCTCTTTCACATTCCTGGCATTAGATAGAACAGTCTTAGCAATAAGAATTTATTTAATCATCGAATTTGCCTTTAGGACATACACAGTCGTTAGTAATACGATCTCCTCGACATTTTAAACATAAGTGTTTCATTTATACACATGTTAAGCATTTAAAGTCGCAAAGTTAACATTAAGAAGTTTAACCGTTGTCAAAAGTACCTTCTGTACATGAACATTACGGAGGATCTTAATTCCTTGAAGGAGCACATTCTATGCAATTATAAGGGATTTTCGAACACCTTTAACACCTGTAAAAACACGACTCACAAAAGGGATTTTGACTGTCAAAAACGGTTAGTGGAGGACATTCACATTGGGGAGTGTTTATTCGGTTTTAAGAACATTGGGTACAATTTTTAGAAGAATGAGTACATTGAGAACATTAGGAGTCACATAAAGAACATTTGCCTGTTTCTTTTTGGGCAAAGTAGGATTAAGGACATATTTATACACATGTATTTGTGATTAGATTTAGGTAAGTTTCAATATAACAGGATCTACACTGGTTTTATTTTGGACCAGTACATGATTCACAAGATGGGTGACAGGAAAAACAATTATCTTCTATCATGTTTAAATAGGAGCCTATAGGGCATTCTAAATGACATTAATAGGAGAAAAAATAAAGGCCATTTTCACAGGAAGTGCATTGTTTATTTGATTGACCAAAACAGTTAAAGCATACAGGATGACAAGGGTCACATTTTCTATTTTAAGGGTTTCCGAAACGTCTTTAAGGGCAATTATAGACACATTCAGTGTACATTAGGAATAAAGGATATTCACATGAAAGACAACTTTGGGGACTTCGACCATTACAAGTTAAGCATTTTGGATCGCATTTTATACATTATTAAAAGACATCGCTTTTGTAATAAGCAAGAGGGCAGTTTAGGAGACATTAGTTATTTAAAAGATACTTTTTTATATATTTATTTATAATTAATTTTAAACATTTTTTTTTTTAATTATTTTTCTGTAATTTTTTTTTAAACAAGCAAAAAAAAAAATAGAATAGTGCACTTTTTTTGATTGATTGTATAAAAATAAATTACAGAAAAAATAAAAAATATATATATATATATATTTTTTACTGTAAACATATTGCAAGAAAGACAATTATTATTTAATGGCCCATCACATGTTTTGCAATCTTGATTACAGGATATGCATTTGCTTTTTTAAGTGTCTCCGAAAAAGCTGTTCAGACAAGTAATTACACAAAGGTTATCATAGAAAAATCGGTTAGGAGGACAGTTTAAGCATTGATTAGGTAGAGGTCCTGAGCAATTTAAACATGAAGAATCGCACTAATAACATACATTGTTTCTAGAAAAATAAGATTAAGGACATAATAGAAGACATTAATTTTAATAGAGATTTAAGTGTGTTTCACATTCTGTACATTAGTCTTGATTTTCATTTAAACATAATTTACATCCATTAAAACAGTTTTGACACTAAAATAAAATTTTATTAGGAAAGAAATTTATAGGACATTTTAAATCACATGAAGATTACTAAAAAAAATAAAATATATGTAAATTTATTTATATAAATATATATATATATATATATATATATATATATATATATATATATATATATATATTATATTGTTTTACATATAAAAAGAATCCTTAAGTACATTATTAACAATCAGATAATTAAGGTCCTGTACATTTTTTACAGTTTTAATGACAAGCACTACATTGATTTGTTTCCTAATTTTTATAAAATGCATCAGGACATATTTTAAGACATTAAAATTTATAGAAAAATCTACCTATATTACAACTTAGACATTATTTTTCGGATTAGCCCTAACATGAAGAACATGTATTATGACAATTATAATAATTGCATTTTCTCGTTTTTATATTTGGAATGAATTATTGAGGACAGTCAGATACACATTAATTGTCTGAAGTTAAAAAAAAGTTGGGTTTGCAATAAATACAGTCTTCTTGTTATTATGAATTGCATTATTCACAAGTCTAAAAACATTAAATACACTAAAGAAGTATTTAATCGAAATAAAATCCACTCTAACAGTTCTAAAAGCAAATATTATTTACTAAAATAGAACCTTATTTGCACTAATTACATTCATTTTTTTCACCTCCAAAGCATGTAAGGCATTCAATATTACATTTAATACATTTTTTTGTAGAAATCTAAGGAAAATAACCTGCTTAGCATGTAGCTTGGCATGTATTTTATTCCAAAAAATTAGGTTCTTTGCATTATAAGCAACTGTTATAGAAAGGGCCATTACATTCAAGACAAGAAGGATGACAAGTTTCGCATATTAGATTTATTTTGTTTGTGAAAAAACCATTTGGACATTCTTTATTACATTCATTATTTCTTAAATAAAATCCTATTTTTTAATATATATATATATATATAATTAATGCTTTTATGTTTACCATTCATGCATTAAGTACACGAAACAGATTAAGAATTAAAACATGCTCTACATCCATTTGCACACTTTAAGCATTTATTTTAATAAATATCTTCATAAAAAGTTGGAGGACATCTTCTGAAACAAGAATTTTCCAAAAAATAGAATTATAGAGAACATGAAAGGCAATTTTTTTCCGAAAAACCATCGCAAGAAAGGCATGTAGGATTACAATTGGCACATTTAGATGACAAAACATCAGGGAAAAATCCCAAAGGACATATTTTGTTACACTTTCCTTCATATAAAAAAGTTCCTGTTTAGCAATTCAGGCATTAAAAATCATTAGGACCCGAACATGAGTTTAGACAAGAAAAATGGCATTATATGCAAATACTTGTAAGCTGGTTTGTATAGAAACCTTCAGGACAATTTTCGAGACACTTTCCATTTAGTAGAAATTATAAGTTAGGGCATGTTTCGCATGTTTATATATTAGAGCATGTTTTACAGGTATTATTGCAAGGATCGCATATGTTTGTGAGTGTGTTTTTAAAATAACCAGCTGGACACTTTTATATGCAAATTTATCGTTGAGTATCTCCCACAAGGTCTTAAGGACATTAAAAAACGCATTAGAAGTTGATTAAAAAAAAATTGTTTTGACAAGATAGACAAGAGTTATAGTGTTTCGAAGTGCATGTTTTGCATGAAGAGTCACATGGTGCGCAGGAACCTGTGGAAATGTCAGGAAAGAAGTTTTTTCCGCAATCAAGAGTGCATTTTTAAGATATAGGGTGTCTATATAGGGAATTTGATTTACAAAAAATACACTAATTTTCTTATGGACCTGTACATGTAAGACATGAAAAGTCACACGGAAGGCATTATTTTTAAATTTAGTCTATATATTAGCCATCAGGACATTTATCTAGGCAAGAACCTTGGTATAAAAAGAATCCGTTTTCACACTCTGTACATGAAAAAGATTCTATATTGAAACATTTTAGGCAGCCTTTAGAACATTATTCACACTTTTAAGTCTATACATTGGCAAATAAACGATCAGGACATTAATCTCGGCAAGTATTTTCGAAAAGAAATAATTCTCCACTACATGAAAGACAGTCAAAGTCGGATGAATTTTTACAAGTAAAGCATTTTCTACTACATTGGTCGCATGTTTGTTTCATATTATTTATATAAAATCCACTAGGACAACTGGTTATACATTAACTTTAATGTAAAAAATAAGCCTTTTCACACATAAAACATTGATTTCTGTTAGTTCCTGTACAAGAGGAGCATGTGGTAAAGCATGGGAGACATTATTATGTGGAGATATCGTTAAAATATTTAGTTGGACAATTTATTAAGCATTATTTGTTTAGGTAAAAATAGTTTGCTTCACAAGATAAACAAGCGGTGTTTTAATTATTTTCGCATTTAGAACAGCCTTGTGAACATTTTTAACAAGTTAAAGTTTCTTAGTCTTTAAAATAAGAAGAAGGACAAGTCAATAGACAACTTTAATTTAAAAAAAAGAAGTTGTTTTTACAGGCTAAGCAGTTATTTTCGTTTGCACCGAAACATAGCGTACATTTCTAGTCACACATTTCGCAGGTTTATTTTTTTAAAGGGGATATAAAATAACCTTCAGGACAAGAAGTAAGGCAACTATTTTTGTATAAATAATAAGCTTTGGGACATTATGTACATTAGTAATCAAAAGGTCCAGTACATGTAGCACATGAAGAATGACAGGAAAGACATAAGGCTTATGTAGGTGAAACATATGTGCCATCTGAACATGAAGAAGAGCATAAGTTATTCATTAAAAAATAGTTTGTTTGACATTTAGTACATTTTAGGGTAGAGTTTTATATATCACTTTCACATAAAATGCAGAATTCGGGACATTACATGCATGTACGTTATTCTAGATTAGTAAAATAACCTACATTACATTTTTATACGCATTTATTTAGGAGAAGAAAGGATTAATTGTCACATGAAGTGCATTAAGTTTGATTGCTTCCGTTACAGGTTTTACATGAAGAGTCACATGGAAGACATTCTATTTAGCCCTTTTCTTTTGTTATGTGATAAAAACCAGGTTAAGGACATTCGTTTATGCATTGGCCATTTAAAAGTCTATATGGAGGTATACATTCTTGACAGTTTTTTAATTATAAGCAAATATTACAGTTTTCTGAGCAGGGTCTACAAATTATTTCGTTTAAATCTATGAAATATTTTAAAGGGCAATTTTCTACACAGGCTTTGTTTAATAAATACTATTATATTTTTTTTAAATAATATGTATATATTTTATTATTTAAAAAAAATATATATATAATATTTTTACTTTTCCCTAATAACATTAAGTACATTCATCAGGTGTGTTTGCTCTACAACTTAAACATAAGGAGTTACACGGAATACATTAAACATTGAGTTTATCTTCAAAGAAATTTTTAATAGGACATCCAGCTAGGCATTATTATTAGAAAAGATACATTCCTTATTCACATTTTGTACAGTTTTACTCTGTAGATTCGGTACATTTTAAACAATTAAAATGGCATTTTATACATTGATTGTTTTTTTAAAAAAAGCGTTCAGCAGGGCATTCAAAAATACATTAGTTTTCTAATAAAAAAAAATTTTCCATGCATTAATTGCAAGTAATTTCTGTATTACAAAGAGCACAATTTTTTTTACATTATTTACATATATTGTCTGTATTTTTAAAAAAGCCTACAGGGCATACTTCCACGCAAGTATTGTTATAAATATATCTCCCAAAGTTGCATTTTTTGCATTCATATTCCTTTGGGCCAGTGCATTAAATACATGATAAATGACATAGAGAACATATATTTTATATATTATCTTAATAATAATAATCTTAAGGACATTATTCTAAGCAGAGATTCTAATATAAAAATCTGGTCTTTTCACACGCTGAGCATTCATTTTCAGAATTTCCGGTACATTCTAGGCAATTTTAATGGCAATTCTAACATGTATTAGTGGCTTTTTATGGGTAGAATTTCGTTTTTGGACATTATTCGAGGCATTAGAAATCTAAAAAATATGTATTTTTTATACAAGAAGCACATTAGAGAGGTTTTTCCTCAACACATGTTAAACATCTTTTATTACAAGAAACACAAATATTAGATTTTGTATCAGGATAGAAATTAAATAGAGGACATTTCAATAAGCATTAAGAATTTAGGAAAAAACGACCTTAGGGACAAGTCAGGCATTAGTTTTCTAAAGGACCTGTGCAAGAAAGACATGAAATATCACATTCTTTGCACGTACTTCCCTCAGTGTAGTATTTTTAATTGGGACATTCAGAAACGCATTATGAAAGGAAAAACAAATAGGAAAAATCGCAATTTATACAGCCTAATATATTACATTCTAAACAGTTTTTGGAACATTTTTCGCAAGTATTATTTTATATATTAGAAAAATATCTCTATGGACATTAAGAAATACATTAACTGTCAAATAAAAATAGTTAGTTTTCACATTCAGTGCAATCTTATTACAAAGGGCCTTTGCAATATTTACAAGAATTATGGCATTAAGAACATTAGTTTGTGGAGCTTTCCTCAAAAAAATAATTATTAGGACAGTCTATAAGACATTAATATTTGTATAGGTATTTGCCTTTTTCACATTGAGTGCATTTCGAGGATGAATTTTAGCAAGAAAGGCAGGATTCATCGCATTTTTAACAGATAAAATTTTAAGGATAGTAGTTGGTTTTTGGACATTCTTTTATACAAGTGTTTATTAGTAGATATAAATTATGTTCACAAATTTAACATTAACCAGTTATATTTTAACATTGTTAGCAGCCTGTAAAACATTGGATGCATGTATTTGTAGATGATAAATATTATTTTTATATACAAGATGTACATTAATTTATCTATTCTCCTATACATGTCAAACAAGATGGCTTTTTATGTTAACAATATATATAAATATAAATAAATATCTATATATTTTACATGACATTTTTCGCATGTATTTATTTCTTAGTTTGGGAAACAAGATTAAGGACATTATTACATACATTTTCTTTCAAATAGGTAATATTAATTTGCACAGGAAAGACATTAAAATTCAGATGGACCGTCACAAGTTAAACATGAAGAATGACAGTCTGAACATTTAATATTGTTTTCAGGATAATATTTATTTGGACATTTTTATAAACAGGTGTTGTTTATGTGAAAAAGAAAACCTTTTTTTGATATATTTTTTAAATAAATAATTATATATTAATGCATATATTTAAAAAACCTTATGAACATGAAGTGCATTTAGTAGATGTTAATTCACATTTAGAGCATGGAAAAGAACAAAATTCACAGGTTTTTTTAATTAAATCAGAAAATTTATTATCAGGACATATTTAATAACAAAAATCTATATCAAAAAAGAAACCGTTTACACATGTTAAACATTAATTACTTGATTTATGACATGTTTAGCAAATAGGATTACATTAAAAACATATTCTTAAAGAATCTTATTTAAAAAAACCTATATTACATTCTTTTTGGCAAAAACTTCCTTATAAAAAATATCCAATATTACAACTTTAACCTAAATAATAATAAATATAAATATAATTATGTATATATATATATATAAAAATATATATATATATATATATATATTTATATATATTTAATTTTTAAATATAATTATTATTATTATTTTTACATTTATCTATTTCTGTACATTATAAACATTTAAAATCACATACTTAACACTTTTTTTATAATGAATTTTTAAATCTGCCTTCAGGACAATCATACACACAAATCGAATTTAATAAGTAAGTGTCTTATTTGCATTCTTAACAGTATTATTATTCTGTACATTTCATACAGTTTTAATTACATTATAGACATACATTAGATTATAAATCTGGAAAATGTTAGTCAGGACATTTTTTCGAACAAGTATTATTATATAAATAGTATTTAGAAGAACATTAAAAGCAATAATTAGCATTTAATGAGCAAACAGAACATTCTTGTGCACATTATTTGCATTTATTATCATTTGAGTCCCCGAAAAAGCCTGGTAGACAATATTCTAGACATTATTATCCTTATAAAAAGAAAGATTATTTACAAGATACACATTAATTAGCAGAAGTACATTACATACATTTAGAATTGCAAGGTCTGCATATATTTTATGTTATATCTTTATAAAAACCTTAGGAGCAATTTTTAATACAAGACATTTCTTCTAAAAAAAAACCAGGATTACATTATAAACAGGATGTATTTGTATTATTGAAACATTTAATACAGTTTTAATGGCAAGGTTCGCATATTTAATTATTTTTATTTGCAAAATAAAAATCAGAAGGACAATTTAATATGCATAAATTGTCTAAAAGGAATCTTTCATTGCTACATGATGTACACAAAGTGGAAGATTAGGAACATGTTAGGCAATTTTGGCTACATTATTCGCATGTTTTATTTAAAGGAGGTTTTATATATGTATTTTGAGGACATTATTCTATACACTATGTGTTGTATAAATAAAAAGAATCATCACATTATGTGCATTAGGTGTTTTCTTAACCAAAACATTAAATACAGGAAGGATTACAGGAAACACATAAGTTCAATTTTTTTTCGTAAAATGTTTTCAGAGCACAGTTTTGTGCACATGTGTTTGAAGTGGAAATATATATGTATGGAGGGTTACACTCGGTGCATTATGAAGGGAGATTTCCTGTACATTTTTTGCAGAAAATGTGGCATTTTACGCATTTGTTAGATTCTGGAAAATAATTATGTTCAGGACATTTTGATAAACATTTATATTCAGTTTCTAATAAATATGTGTTTTATTCACATTGTGTACATTTTTAGTCATTTTAGATACATTTTTTACATGGAGAGGTACATTTTTGGCATGTATCGGTTATTTAGTTTAAATATTCATCTTCAAGGCATGAACTTAGACATATGGGACTTTTCGTACTTTATAATACAAATCCTTATAGGCATTTTATACATTAAGTAGAGGTGCATTCTAAGCAGGAAAAATGACATTTTTCACAAATTTGGTTATTCGGGAAATATTATAATGGACAATTATTTAGGCAAGAAGTAGTTTCTATATTTAAAAAATAGTTTGAATTACAAGATGAGCATTCATTTTGGGAAGGACCATTGCATATTTTGCATGAAATATGACAGCTTAAACATGTATTATTTAATATGTAGTAATTTTCAGGAGGACATTAGGACTCACAGGCATTTAATGAAGGGATGAAGAAAAGATTATTGGGACATTAGGTACATTTTTTTGGATTTTCAGTACATTTTAGACATAAAGAGCTACATTTGTTGCATGTTTTTGTGGTATTTTCTTTGTAAAAGGTATCCGGGCAATCTAAGAGACATGTGTTTTGATATAAAAAAGGTCTGTTATTAGGACATTCAGTACAATTAAGTGGATTATCAATACAAGAAAGACATTAAGAATCACATATAATACACATATTATTCTTGGAATCATTAAAATGTCCAAATGGACAGTTAAAAACGCATTAATTTGTAGTAGATAAAAATGTATTTTGTGGACACAGTGTGCATTAATTTTAACTAGGGCCTATACACTAAGAACATGAGAAATGGCATTTTAAACACTGAGTACCTTATTGGTAATATCCATCTTTTAATGGACATTAATTTAGACATTCATTATCCAATAAAAAGGGATTTTATAGGGGACAGGAAGTACATTTGAATGGATTTTATTCACAAGTTTAACAGGATATATCACATTAATCACATGTGGCTTTTTAGATGTTTTTATATGTAGTTTATATTGAACAATCAAATACACATTTAGTATTTTCGAGAAAAGCTCCTTGATTGCAAGATGTGCAGTCGGTTTCTGATTTTCCTTTACATTCTGAACATGAATTGTGACATTTTTAACATTAATTATTTATATCAGAAGCGAAAAAACCTGATGGACATTAAGTAAGGCATTATTAGTTATGTAAATATTGGTTTCGTATACATTATAAGCATTATTAAGTGCTTAAACATATAGAACATGTTATTGGGCATTAAATACATCTATTATTTTCTAAAAAATAACCGTTTATACATGATAAACATTCTGATTATCCAGTACATGTAAGACATACTGTATTGCAGTTGGTACATTTTTGGGTTAAATTGTCCGGATAATAGGATTAATTGCATTTTATTACACATGAATATGGTTCTTGTATGTAATAATTAGGCTTACATTAGGTGCATTAAGTATCTAAAGGGCCTGTGCAAGTAAGACATTTATAATTGCAGGGTAAACAAGTTTAATTTTATAAGAAAAAAGCGGCATTTTTGCATAAAACACAGTTTTGTAAAGAAGTACATTGTTCGCAGTTTTCAGGGCATTTTTTACATATGAAATCAGTTTGGTCTGCATAAAAATTAATAGGGCAATTTAATTAACAAGAATTATTTTAGGGTAAATAAAAGTAATTTTAAATACAAGAAGTGCATTCATTTTGTGCTTGGGCAAAGCACTTAGAACATCCATGAAAGCAAGAAAGGCATTAATAAGTTTCTTTTTTTAAATAAAAATTGTTATTACAGGCTTAACAAATTTCTAAAGATGTACAAACAAGGCATTTAGGGTCGCATTTTTTGCATATGTTTATGCTGCTAAAAAAACCTTGAGGACAAATTTCAAAACATTTGTTTTCTAATAAAAATAAATTCTATTGGCATTGCAAACAGTCTGTTTCTTAAGGTCCTTTACATTTTAGGCATGTTTAATAGCATTTATCGCATTTATTATTGCTAGAATTTGGATAAGTGGGTGTATTTTCAGGACATTATGGACTACATGTATTTCATATAAATAATTTAGAGCCTACATTGCTAACATTCGGTGCTTGAGGTACATATGGAACATGAAGTAGGACATTAGGTGCATTTGTGGTTTTCTGAATTAGGGAAAAATCCTTAAGGACAAACAGAGGAATCTCCACATGTTGTATTATACAAGAAAAAATTTTATTTACATAATAGGCACTAAGAATTTTGACTTCCATAGCATTGTTCGCAATTTAAATGGCATTATTAACATTCAAATGTTTGCAAATTATTAAATTCCCCAATATTGCATTAAGAAAGACATTAATTTAAAGCATTCATGAATAATCCTTATGTACATTTTTAACATTATTAGTAACTTGTGCATTATAAACATCCAGAAGGACAGGCTATACATTAAAAGGTGTTTTTATTTGAGAAAAAGCCAGAAGGACATGCTTGAATACATATAGAATTATGTAAATAATAAGATTAAGGACATAATGTGCAATTATTAATTAAAGGACCATTACATGAAAGACAGGAAGAATGGCATTTTGTACACTTTTTATATATAGTCATATATATATATATATATTCAATACTTTTTAAATATATATATTATTTACTGTATTATCATCATTATTTTTATATGTAGTAATGTCGTTACATGTAGATAAGCATTCTCCATTATATAAATAAGTATTTTAAAAACAAGCAGTACATTATTTATCTGAACTTCCTGTACATCTTTTACATTTAAAATAACATTAAGAGCATTAGAAAGTCTCTTAGTCGGGAAAATAATAATCTATGGGACAAGACCCAACACATGATACGTTTAAATTATATAATTAAGTATTGCATTGGATACATATATCGGAAAAGCATGTATTACATCCATCTGTGCAATTTATGCATGTATTGTTTGATAAATATTGCCTTTCTGAGCATCTTGTGCAATTGTTTCTAAAGGACCATTGCAAGAAAGCAGGAAGAATGACAAGGTAAGCATTGATTATTTATAGTATCTTAGTAATATTTTTCAGAAGGACATTGATCAAACATTGTTAGTCAAGTTTAAAAAAACCTAAATCACATGAAATACATTTATCATATTAAGAACCGAAACACTCCATACAAGAATTATGACAAGGCTAACATGTATTATTTATTGTATTTTTGAAGAATTTTTAGTAGGACAGGTAGTTAGACATTAATTATTTAATAAATACATTAAATTAATACATGAAGTACATTTATTACTGCTATCTGTACAAGTAGCACATTAAGAATCACATAATTCACTATTTTTAACTTTTATAATTTATGTATGAATTATTTGGACATGTACTATCACATGTACTTCCATATAAATAATTTTTTTAATTACATACTATATTTTATTTATGTATATATAATATATGTATAAATTAATAAATATTTATATTTATTTATTGAATTTTTACATAAACATGAGGAGTTTGTAGAAGAAGTACATTTTTTGCATTTTATATGGCATGGTTTACATATATTTTCTGTTTTTTCTTCATAGAAACCTTCGGGACATGCTTATAGGCAATTATTTAAATGTAAAAAATATCCACTTTCACATTATTTACATTTAATTACAAATTCTCCTGTTGTACATACAAGGCAATATTAATTGCAACTTTTACATAAACCTCTTGCTGTATCAGCGAATTATTTTTAAGGGCAATTTAATAGGCAAGAATATATTTAAATATTGCTAAGATTTATTTACGGATTTGCTTTAAAATGTCCTTTTTTACATGTAAGGCATTCATTATATTCACTTCCTGTACATGTTTCGCATGTAGAATGGCAAAAAGAACAAGTTTTAGTTGAAGAATTGGCGTATTTTTCAACTGAACATACTTATACACAGGTTTAAACATCCAAGAAGTAGTTATCTACGCATTAATTGCATTAACTAATCAAACCTCCGAAACAGGAAGTGCATTAAGGTACACATTAGGAGCACTTTCTATTAGAAATATCTGCAAAGTATCCATTTTAAGAACAACTTTTGACACATTCATTGTTATTTTACAGGAAAAATGATGACGCACACTCTTAACATTAATTCGAGTTCTATCCAGTACATAAAGTACATTAAGAATTACACATTTTACACTATTTAGTTAAATCGTCTTTATAATATCCGTCTAAGCAAGTATTTTTACAAGAATTATTTAAAAAATAGAAGCCTTAAAAGCACTCGGTACATTAAGTATCTAATTCGCCAAAACAAACAGTACAACTAGGATGACATTATATACACATTTTCCTTATTGAATCTGGAAAAAAACCATTTTAAGGGCAACTTGTGAAGCATTAATTATCTTTTAAAAATCTTCCAGCTTTACAGGAAGTGCATTTAGTGTATATTTATGTACAAGTAGCACATTAAGGATCACAGTTTGCACAAAGAGTTTCTCCTGAAACATATTGGGCTTCTGGACATGTAGAATTACAGGTAGTCTGACTTAAATAAAATCTTTTACTGCATTCAGAGCACTCAGAATAAGAAGACCCAAAACAAGCTTTGCAGTTAGAATGGCAAGGCAAACATCGTTAAGTTTAAGTGTCTGCGAAGTAGTTTAAAGGACAATATTAGACACAAATGGAATTTTAATATAAGAAATAATTGATATTGCATATAGAACATTAATTATTTGTTGCGTCTGAACATTATAGACAAGAAATATCACATGGGGAGCATATGTTATTTATATTATCTGCGAAAAAGAAGTACTTGGGCATTTTTAAACGCAGGTTTTTTCATTTAAAAATGAACCAGGGTTACATTTTGTGCATATTTTGGAAGATTCAGTACATTAAAGGCATATTAGATCACATTATTAGCACGAATTAGTAGCTACGTTGTAAAATTCATTTAAATTAAAGCAATTAGACACGCATGTGGTGTTTTATATTAAATTAAAACCAGTTTTACATTCTTGGCATTCGCTAATTGTAGGTCCAGTACATTTTTTACATGCAATATTACAAGGAATACATTCATCTCGAGTATTATCAGGATAATGTTCCAAAGGACAGACTTATATACATTAAGATTTATATAAAAAATAGCCTTTTTTGCATTATAAGCAATTATTTGGAAAAGTTATACATTGTTTACATGAGATGTTACAATTTTCACATTTCTAAGTTGATTCGTCTCCATATTTTTCGAATCCACAAGATAAAAGGCATTATGTTGAGAGTAAAAAACGAGGCTATTTACAGGAAAGGCAATTATTTCCAGTTGGACCATTACATAAGAAACATGTAGGATTACAAATAGTACATAAACGAGAAATGGTATCTTCATAAGTATCCTGAGGGCATGATTATACGCATTATTTACTGTTATATAGGAAATATAAAGCTTTACAGGATATACAATTGTCAGCATTTTAACCATTACATTCCTAAATTAAATTTCGTATTATATAAAATATAAAAATTTATAATTTTCAGAAAAATAAAAAATAATAACAAAAAAATAAGTAAAATAATATATATATGTTTTTTTTTTATTTATTAAATAAAAATAATTTAGAATAAATAAAAAATATTTTACATAACATGAGAAATCACAAGGTTTACATGTTCTATCTAAATTATCAATATAAAATCCTTAAGGACATACATTTAAACATTATTGTTAATGAAAAACATAATCTATTATTTATTTTTTTAATCAATTATATTATATATTTAGTCTTTTTACTTTCAGAGCATATTACACATTAATTAATAAGAGGTCCAGTACATTTTTTACAAGATATATTACATTTTTTACATATTAAATCTTTTGTATCTCCATAATATTAATCTGAACATGAAGAAACACATGTAGATTCATAAAGAAATGTGTTCGGTTTACATTTAGTACATTAATTAGAAAAAGCTCCTGTACATTGACTACAAGAAAAATGGCATTAAATACATTATCTTAATATTAAATCACCGTAAAAATCATTTTAAGGACATTTATTAATACATTCAAATTAAAAAAGAAAACCGTCAATACAATTAATACATTATTAATATGATGGACCAATACAATTATAACAACTACTATGACATTATGAGCATATTCTATTATCTATAAAATATCTAATAGGACACTATGAATATAATATAAAATATATATAAAATATTACAATATTTATTTAAAATAAAAAAAATGTCAAAAATATATATATATTAATAAATTAAATAATAAAAAATTTTTAAATAATTATATATATAAAAATATAAATTATAAATATTAAAATGATTTTTAAATAAATTTAAATACATAATTATATTTTATAATTTTCAATAATAAAAAATTAATTATATATTTATATAAAATATAAGAATAATAAAATTATATATAAAAATAATATACATATATATAAATATACATTTTATTTTTTTATATATTTATATTTCTAAATTTATATACACAAAAATTTATTTTTAATTATATATTTATATTATATTATTATATTTACATTTTTATCACATTTATTATTAAATAAATAAAAACCTTCTTTACATTCAATACAATCTGTATTATTTTCTCTAAAACATTAAATACATGAATCATGACATTACATACATGTATTTAACTTTAAATAATATCCTTTATTACAAGAAAAGCATTAAGAATCTAAAGAGCCAAAGCATTCTATACATTTACTACTACAATTAGTACATTATAATGTATTTTTATTAGGAAATGTTCCAATTGGACATGTCCCTTAACATATACTATTATTTTAAAGATAATTTCCTTAAGTACATTTTTTACATTAATATTCTGTACTTCCAAAACATTCCGAACACTTAAAATTACAAGGGAAACATTCTGAATTATTTAAATAATAATTTAATACACACTGCGTACAATTTTACGGGTTTCCTTCACATATTGAACAATTATTTACACATTATATGCAATTTAAAGTAATTACATCATTTAAAAAGCCATTTGGGCATGTACTTTGACATTAAGTTTTATGTAGGAAATTTCCTTTTGTGCATTATTGGCAATTATTTTCTGAAGTGCAAATTTTGCAATTTATACTGCACTTTATACACTAGTTACCATTTAAAAAATAACCTTCAGTACATTGAGTGCATTAAATTTAATTTATCCCAAAACAATCAGAACAAGCTATATCACATTAAGAACAAATAGATTTTATTGTATCAGGGAAAAAACCCTTAGGACAGACCAAAAGACACGTGTTCAGGTAAAAAAATCTACCATTAGGGCACTATAAACATTAATTATTTGCACTTCCGGTGCATGTTAGGCATTCTTAATGACAGTTTTGGCATTAGAAGTTGGTTATGTTACCAAATTTGCCTTATGTGCAAGTTAGATCGCATATATTGTTGTCGAGAAATATACCAGAAGCGCATTCTGTGCAGTTGGTATTTCCAAAACCGAAACATTTTGTACATTTAGGGTCACAATTTTGACATGTTTAATTTTAGTAATTTTTAAATTTTCCGACCGGACAGTTTTCTATGCAGGAATTTGCTTCTAAAAAATAATCATAATTACACTGGGTACATATATTAATTTATAGACAAGAAGAACATTTATAATCACATTTTTCACATGTATGAGTTGACATGTCTTGAAAATAGGCTCTAGGACATACTTATAAACAGGAATTATTATTATAAAAAAAATATCCAGAATTGCATTTAATACAAGAATCGGAAAAAACCGAAGTACAAATAGAACATCCTGGAAAGCATTTTGTGCATTAAAATTTCGTATCGTCTTTAAAATATTCAATTGGACAGTCTTATAGGCATTAATTATTGAATAAATAAAGTGGCACTTAACAACTTTGACAATTTGTGGCTAGTGGACCATTACATCTTGAACAAGAATCATAACAAAGCTAACATTTATTCTAATTTATGTCTTTGTAGTAATGAATAGGGCAGTCTGTTAAGCATTAGTAGGTTAAAGGCGATAAAAATAAACCTAAGTCGCATTCTAGACATTAAGTTGGGAGATCTCCGGTACACTTCAAGCATGAAGAATGGCATCTTTCGCAAATTTTAGGATCCATTTAGAGACCGTAAAAACCTATTTAAGGGCATTATAATTTGCATTAACCTAAATGAAGGAAATAAGGACTATCACAAATTGAACATATATCATTAATGCATTATTTGCAATTTTAAGGACAATTTAAACATTATCCATTTTTTAAATATTATCTCTTTAAAAATAAACATATATATATATATATATTTATATTTATATTTATATTTATATTTTTTTACATCAAAACATTATAAACATTCATTATTTGAATTTCCTGAGCATTTTTAACATGAAATTTCGCATTTTTTACATTGTCTTAAAACATTATCTGGGAAAAAACCTATACTAGGACATTACGAAACGCATTATTAATCTAAAAGCATTTTTCCAATTTAACATGCTGTGCAGTTATTTTCTTAAGAAACACATTTTAAACATAAATTCAAATCACATTATTTACATATACTAGAAGTTAAGTCTGCAAAAAAAGAATCAGGACATACATTTATACATCTATTATTATGTAAGAAAGTATTTTTTTGACAACTAGTACAATAAGTGCTTTATTCTGTACATAATTTGCAATTTAGGTTACATTATTCACATCTTTAAGTATTATTATTTGCAAAAGTACCATTAGGGCATACTTAGAGACAGACATACTCAAGATCATATAAGAAAAAGCCCAAAGAGCATTTCTAACATTAATTCTATAGACTTCCTGTGCATAAAAGACATGCTGAATCACATTTAGAGCATTTATTTTCAAGATAATTATTATAAAAGCCTTCTGGACAGTTATTTAAGCAAATATTTTAATATAGGAAATAATTAGATTTGCATTTAGTACAATTATCTTAAATGGAAGTACATAGCGAACATTTTTCATTACAAAGTTTACATTCATGTGTATTTTGGTCATCATAATATCCTTCAGGACATACTTGAAGACAAGTAGAATTATTCTTAAATAGAAAATATTGGTCTTTACATTATAGACATTAATCGGGATTTCCTATTTGGCATTATTTGCACAAGGAAGAACATTAAATACACTAATTTTTGTCTTAATAGTAATTTTCGGGACATTTTTAAACACATAAGTTTTGTAATAGATAATAATTTGAAATACATTAGGTACAAAAATCTCTAGAGTTACATTTTTCACATACTGAATTACATTTCTTACATGTATTATCTATTAAATCTGGGTAAAATTATATAGGACATTCTATTAGGCATGTTTTTTCAGCTAAAAAAAAACCTTGGGAGCATTAGGTGCATTCAGAAATACTACTTCCGGTACAAAGAGTGCATTTTGGGTTGCATTTTTCACATTTTTTGGATAATATATTGGCATAAAAGCCTTCTTAAACGCATTAAGAATCACAAGTTGTTGAAGAAAATTAAAGATAGAAGTTCTATGTGCATTCAGTACATTAGGATTAAGCTTTTCCAAAACAAATAGAGCAGTTTGGGTGACAGAAATTGCATTTATTTTCTAAAGAATCACCATATTAACCTTGTGGACATGTTATTTCGCATTTATTTTGATTTAAAAATAGGCCAGAGGGGCATTAGGTACAAAAATTAGCTATATTTATACATGATAAGCATTAATTAGAACATTATTAACATATTTAGTCAATAAAAAAATAACCTAAAGGACATTTTTATACGCATGTGTTGTTATAAAGGATAGTATTAATGGAACATTATTAACAATTTAAAATGTTAGTACATTAAATACAGGAAGCGGAACAACTTAGACATTAATTTAATTAAGAATCTCCATATTCTGATGAGGGGCAAAAAGGTATGCAAACATTATTAATTAAAAAATATCCATCTTTACACTAAAAATAAATATTATATGAATTTATTATATATAAGAATATAAATATATATAAATATATGTTTATATATATTTTATACACATATATTCTTATATATATATATTTATTTTATTTTATTACGCTTTAACAATTGAATTCTTATTTATTACATTTAATACAATATACATTACAAGGTGTACATTTAAAATTTTATAAATCTTCAAAAAAATACTCTTTAGGGCAATTTTGTACACAAGTATTTTCATATAAAAAGTAATTATTTATACAAGAAATGCATATGTTTTCATTTAAAATACAATCTTTACAAGGACTTTTACATATTTCACATTCATTATTATTAATATTTAAATAAGTCCCATCTTTGCAATTACTGATGCATGTATTATTAATTGTTTATAAATGAAGCCCATATATGCAACTTTTGCATTAATTGTATTCCTCTCCTGTACAATCTAGGCATGTAAAATGGCATTTTATACATACATTTTCCCAAATTTTTGTAATATGGCCTTAAGGACAACTCTAAATGCAAGTATATTCGTATAAAAAATAGTTATTATTACAAGAAGTACATTTACTTTAAGATGTACAAGTAATACATTCTAAAGGACAAGTCTGACAATAACCTTATTCATTATTATATTTACCGTTTGGGCAATTCTATAAACAATAACCTTCATCGAAAACTTTATCTATATAACAACTTTTACACAAACTTGAGTTTTGGCAAGATTTACATGTACTTAGACATTCTTAGCACTAATTATTTTCCATAAAAAAGCCTTCTTCTGGACACTAATTAACGCACTTATTTTGATATAAAACAGTGGAATTTTTACACTACAAGCATTGATTATAATTAGGACCGGAACAACTATAGCATGTTTCATGGCAGTCTTCACATTTTTAATTTAGTATATTTTTATACTCGGAAAATGTGCAATTTTATACACATTCATTATTTTTTGTCAAAAAATATGAATTATTGCATTTGATACATTCGTTTTGGGAAACTCCTGTACATTTAGAACATGAATAATGGCATTTTTCACATACATTATTAAGTATTGAATTTTCGAAAAAAGTATCCGGACACTCCTAAAGACATGTATTTTGAAATAAAAAAGTCCCTTTTTTGCAACTTAAACATGAAAAATCTTCAAAAGAAGTACATGAAAGACATTAAAAATGGCAGTTTTTACATTAGTTAGTTGATATATCAGGGTATGTATTTTATGGGCAGGTATTCGTGCATGCTTTTTGGTTTAAAAAAAGTCCTTATTAACATGAAAGGCAATAATCGGCTTATTTTTCACAAGTTTTGCATATATATGCACATTATTCGCATTTATTAGTTTAGGTGTTTTCAAAAAAGCCTTCAGGACATTATATAGAGCAAGTATTTTAGTATAAAAAATAACTTAAATTACATTCTTAACATTAATTATTTGTATTACCATCGCATTATTTGCACATATTATTGCATTTTTTACACTATGAATTCTCTAAAAAATAGCCTTCTGGGGTGCATTAAGTACACTAATTTTCAGAATCGCATTTAATACAAGGGAAAATGCATTTTTCGCAAATATTTTTTTAAGAGTTTTTGAAAAAGCCATCATAACAACTGCTTGAGCATATTTAATCTTATAAAAAAAAGCCGTTTGTGCATTCCTAACATTATGTACTAGAAGTACATTTCGAGCATTTTCTATCACATTTTATACACTTTTAATTATAAAACCATTAAAAATACCCTTCAGCACATAAAACACAATTACTTGAATCATCTTTACAGGTTTTACATTAATGATCACATTAAATACATGTATTTGTTTATTATTTGTTATAAAAGCCTTCTGGGCATTATATTAAACATGTGCTTTAAAATAAAAAGTATGTGTCTTTGCATTATTGGCATAACGTATACGAGGTACATGTAATACATTTTGTATCACATTTTTAGCATGTTTAATTTTCTAAATAATATCCATTTATACAGCCCTATATATATGATAATATTATATATTATAATTTTTTTTTTATTTTACTTCACATTAAGTTATTAATTATCCAGTGCATTTAGTACATGAAGAATCACATGGAGAGCATGTATTATTTAAACTATAAGGAAAATACCCATCAGGGCAAATTGTTAAACATTAATTATTTAATAAATATCTTCCCGAAATACATGAAAGACAACTATTCTCAGTATTTTAAGTACATGTTTTGCATACAGAATTACATAATTGGCATATTCTTACAGGAAAATCTTATTTAAATTTTCCTTATGGACATTCAATTAAGCATGTATTATTTTAGTCTAAATAGGTTCCTGTTTTGCAAGAAAGGCAGTTATTGTTACCCATATTAAAACATTTTTCACATAAAATACTACATTGAGAACATATTTTGTTTGTATTATCTTAATATGTACCATCAGGACATGTTTATATGCATTTTTTTTATGTTTAATCTAAATAATAGCCAGATATACATTCTGTACATTCATTTTATGTTAAACATTTATTACAGGTAGAATCGCATAAAATACATTTATCTTAATTTAAAAAAGTTTTAATAGGACATTAGGTAACACATTAATTAGTTAAAGTATTTAAATAAGAAGTACCTTAAGTGCATGATAAACAAAATGTTTCATTAATACAATATTAACAATATTAGGAACATTATTGACATATCATATTTATCTTATCTGCAAAATAGTAATTTAAAGGACATTATTATACACATTCCTAATTAAATAAATATAAACATAAATATGAAAATATTTTTTTACGCTATTAAACAAAAAGTAATGTTGTTAACATTTCGTGCAATTTTAAGGCGTTTAATTAGTACATTAGACGCAAGATTCATGACAAGCTTTACATTCATTATTCTAATCTGTATAAAATCCAACTAAAGGACAAGAAATTAAGCATTAATTATCATAAAAAAAATATCCTTATTTGCAAGTAAAACAAACATCATAATTAGAGCATGTTTAACATAAACTATAACAGCTTTTGCAACTTCGAGTAATTTAATCAACAAAATAAAATTAACTAGGACATTAAATTAAGCATTATCCATCTAAACTATACATATTAATATCGCAATGTAGGCAAAAATCAATTGAAGAACACTATATATATATATATATATATATATATATATATATATATATATATATATATATATTTATATTTCATAAAAAATTTTACTTATAAACATCCATTACTACATTAAATACATTAATTATTTTATAAATATTTTCTTTATTCACATGCTAAACAATCATCTTCATTTTTACCTTTACACTACAAGCATTAAGTATTACACTAACCACAAACTGCATTTAAATTATCTTCAAAATAATTTTCTATAGGACATGAACTTACACATTTTCCTTTTAATAAAAATAATCCTTTTCTACATTTTGTGCATTAGTCATTCCCTTTTTCTGTACATTATAAACATGTAGAATCGCAATCTTTACAAATTCCATTTTCAATAAAGTATCCTTCTAAAGGACATGAATCAACACAATTATTAATATACAAAATCTTTCCAGCATTACACTATGTACATTTATAAGATACTTCAATGCATTCTAAACACTCACTTGAACAGTTCTCGCATTTCCTTTTTTATTTATTAGCATATTTTCCGCTAGAACATTCCTTTATACATTATTTATTTTATAAAAAAAATCCTTAAATACACTTTAGACAAGTGTTTTGATTCAATTCACATTCTTCGCATGTATAATGGCAATTTTTGCATATATTATCTGTTTAATCACCGTAAAAATTCGGTGGACATTTATCTAAACATTATTTATTTGTTAAAAAAAAACCGGTTTTACATTCTATGCATTCATTATTGGTATTTCCTGTACACTTAGAGCAGTTTTGGTGACAGTTTTCGCATTTTTTCGTTTATAAATTTCCATATTTTCCCACAGGACAAGAAGTACTACATGTTTTGTTTTCCAAAAAGAAATTTTCATTACAAGTAAGACAATCAGAATTAGTTTAATTTATGCATTCTTTACAGTTTATGTGACACTATTCACATTTACCAAAACTAATATTCCCGTAAAATCCTTAAGGACAGTTTTATACACATTAATTATTATCATTTAAGAAATAGTTTTATATGCAAGAAATACATATATCAGAAGAAAAGCACTAAATACATTCATTTTTACACTTTTCGCATGTATTTTTTACACTGTCTCCATAAAAGCCTTAACCACAATTTAATAGACATTCTGTTTCTTTTAGGTAATATCCACTTTTACATTAAAGACATTAATTTTGTAAAAAACCAGTACACTGAGAACAATAAGAGTGGCAATTTTAACATTAATTATTATTTTTGTTTCCATATTTATTATCTGGGCAAATACTTAGGCAAGTATTTTCTTCTAAAAAGAAATCCTATTTACAAGAAATACATTAAGAATCTAATAGTCCAATGCATATTTGGCATTTAGAATTACATTTTTCGCATTTATTATTGATTTTATTGGGAAAAAAATACAATGGACAATTACTTACACACTAGAAATTAAACAGGAATTTATCAGAATTACACGAAATACAATTTTAAGATTTTTCTTAGCAGTCTTTACAATTTATATCGCATTAAGTACATTATTATAGATTTTCAAATTTTCCTATTGGGCAATGCTCTATGCAAGCTCTATCATCTAAATAAAAACCTTTGTTGCACTCTTAGCATTAATCGTAAGTCGGTCCTGTGCATTTAGAGCAGGCTAAATTGCATATTTCACATTGGTTTGTGTATATATTGGCATATTTACCAAAAGGACATGTTGATTTACATTCTTAATTATCTAAAAAGTAGCTATTTTTACATTATTGGCAGTTTGTTTATGATATACATTTTAAACAAGACGAATTACATGGAAGACATTCCATTTTTATTAAATTTGTGTAAAATTCCAATTAAGGACATATTTCTAAACAAGTATATTAAAATAAATATTTATTTTCTAAACAGGAAGTGCATTATGTAGAAGATTAATTACATGTTTTACATTTAATAGAACATTTTTCGCATGTATTACTTGGTGTAAAATATTCATCTTATAAGCAATTTGGTGCACATGTTTTTTATTATAATATATATCCTTTAATACATTAAATGCATTCATTTTAAGTTTCTCCAATACATCTAAATAAAATATATATATATATATATATATATATATATATATATATATTTATATATTTTTATTTATATATTATTATAACAATTTTTATTTATATTAAATTACTTAGAACAAGAAAAATGGCATTTTTTACATGTTTAATCTTAAGTAGATGGATAATAATTATCTAAGCATGTAACATTACATGTGTTATCTTCATTTAAAAAATAAGATTAATTACATTTCGTACAATAAGTTAATGAATTACAAGCCACACATTTTTCATCACAATACTCACATTTTTTTTAGTCGTTTTTGAATTTTCCTTCAGGACAATTAACTACACAATTATTATCATCTTTTATTTTAATATATATATTTAAATTTCTATATATATATATATATATTACCTAAAATAAGACCATCTATACATTCTATACATTAGTTTATATTACCTCCAGTACATAAAAGACATGAAGAATGACACTATTTGCATGATTTATCGCTTAAATCTTTGAATTTTCCATTTCCGCAGTCATTTACACATGAATTATTCAAAAAAAACATGTATTTGCACTTTGTGCAATTATTATTTGTAATTCCATTACATTCCAGACAATCATCATGGCATTAAGTGCATTAATTATTTTCTTAATTTGGAAAAAAGCCTTTAGGACATTAAATTAAGCATTTTTTATTATATAAAAATAAATCTCCTGTACATGTAATGCAATTATTAATTTAAGAACCATTACATTATTAACATGAAGAATGACAATTTTCACATTTTTTAGTATTTATATTACCAAAAAAACCCTAAAAGCATTTCTAAATACACATATTTCCTTACAAAAAATAATCCTCTTTTTCACATTCAATGCAATTTTTAGAATCTAAAATACATTTTTTACATAAAGGATCACATTATTCACATACAAAAGTGGTAATATCACCATAATAATTATCAGGACAATCTATTTTACATAAATTTTAGTATAAAAAAAGCCCGTCTATACATGTAAGGCAAAAATCATAATTATTGCAAGTTTTACAAGTTTTATTACATTATTGGCATTTATTAATTTTATACTATTTAAAAAAACCGTTAGGACATATACTAAAGCAATTATTTTAGTATAGAAAATATTCATTAATACATTCTGTACATTATTTATTTGAACTTCCGAAGCATTCAGAGCAATTTAAATCGCATTAAATACAGGTTGTTCCGTTCAAATAAAAGCCTTTTTAACATTCTTGACATGCATTTGCGCCTGCTGATGCACATTATTTACATTCAGGACTACATTATTCACATTTATTGTTTAATTAATTACCAAAATAACCTACTGGGCATGTCCCTAAACATTACGAAGGATTTAATATTTATAAATAATTACCGTTAGAACATTATGTACAATCTTTATTTGTTTTTTCTGTACATTTAGAACATTAAGGGTGACATAATTAACAATTTCCTGTAGAAACTAAAAAAAAACCATCAACACAAGAAGTACAATTATCAAAATTATCTACACATTTAGAACACTTAAAAAAAAAAAATTATGTAAAATAAAAATAAAAATAAAATACTTAAATATTGCATTTTTAGCATTTATTGGAAATCGAATTTACAAAAAAACCATCAGGGCAAAAATCGGTACATTAATTACTATTAAAAAGGAAAAAGCCAAACTTACAATGGCTACAATTAGTAGATAAAACTGAACATTTTTCGCATTTAGAATCACATTATTAACAACTAATGTCAATATCATTTAAAAAATATCCATCCATGCATTTAACACAAATACTAAGATTATTACACTCTAAACATGCATTAGGACATTTTTAACAAGTATTATATTGTATATTATTAAACATTCCCAAAGGACATTAGAGTATGCATTAATTATTAAATAAAAAATATTAGGATGTGCATTCAAGGCAATCATTATAATTTAATCCTTTACATTATTTACAATTATTATAACAAGGTTAACATATTTATTTATCAGGAAATTTTCCTTCTGGGCAGGATAATACACATGAATTGCTAATTTAAAAAAAAATATATAAATAAAAAAGTATAAAAATAAATAAATAAATATATGTATAAATAAAATATAATTAAATATAATTTTAATATAGTTTTAATATAATTTGAATATTATTTAAATATAATTTAAATATAATTTAAATATAATTTAAATATAATTTAAATATAATTTAATATAAAATTTTATATATATTTATTACTTATCAATATAATAATCATCTTCACAAACTTAGCAATTATTTTTATATGGTCCATTACATATTTTACATCCTTTATCACAATCTACACATTCATTATTCTTCATATCTCCAAATTATTTTAAATTACATTTTTATATGCAAGAATTTTTTTATAAAAAATAATTATTATTACATTACTAGCATATATTTTATTCTGTGCATTTTTTGCATTTAAAATTGCATTATATACATATTTATTCGGATTAATAATATCCAATTGGACATTCTTTAACACATGAATTTTAAAACATAATATAATTTTTAATACAACTTAAACAAAAAGAATTATTATTCTTACATGTTTAACAACTTTAAATTTTTATTTATATATATATATATATATATATATATATATATATATATATATATATATATATAAATATATAGATATATATATGTTTAATTTTTTTTTTTACTTATTTTCACAATTTTCACATTTTTAATTTTATATAAATCCGAATTTACCATCAGGACATATTTCCATACATTTTTTTTCGTCTAAAAAAAATGAATCCTTGCATTAAATACAATTTTCGCTATTTTATTCACATAAACTACAGTTTATATTACAACTTTTGCATTATTTAGTCTCTAAATCTTTATAAAATGCTCCCTAACATTAATCTACACAAGAATTATTCTGAAGAAAGTACCCTTAATTACATTCTAGGCAAAAGCTGGCTTAATTAACGCACTTAAAACACTTCTAATCACAACTTTTGCACTAAAATTCTTTTAAATCTGCATATTAAGAGCCTTCACAATCCACTTTACACCTCCCTTCATCCAAAAAGAGTCTATTAATACACTTAGTGCATTAATATATTTCTCCACCAGTGCATTAAAGGCAATTTATATAACAATTTTTACATTAAAAGCTATTTAAATCATTATAGAATTTTTCCGGACATTCTTAAACACAACTATTATTATTCAAAAAAAAAAGACCTTTTTAACAAAAAAGACATTAATTTTAATTTTCGCCTGTACATTCAAGACATGAAATATGGCAAGGTTTACATGTATAATTTGACGTGGCGAAATACATAGAAGGGCATTTATCAATACAACTATTTTAAATAGACAAAAATGAACCTAAATAACATTATTGGCATTTATTAGGACCTTCTCCAGTACATTCTAGACATGAAACGTGGCATTTTTCACATGTTTTTTTATATATATCTTTATATTTATCTATAGGACACGTTTCTGAGCATACATTATTGTTTAAGAAGTTGTTTAAAGCACATTATTAGCAATTAGTTGATGATATGGTACATTTTGTGCATTTTTAATCACATTATTAGCATGTATTGTCTTTTAGATCATTAAAATAATTAATAGGACATTCCTGTAGGCATGTATTATTATATAAAAAGGCGTTTTATTAGCATTTTAGGCATTAGTTGTTTGATGGACCGGTACATATGGTGCAATATTAATCACAATTTTCACATTTTAAAGTTAATTTATTAGGGAAATATAATTCTGGGCAAAGTTTATTACATTCATTTAAATTATTTAGATATGTATTAGTTTTACAAGAAACACATTAATTTTTTAACTTCCCGAAACAATTTTCACATGAAATATCACAGATTTCACAAATTCCATTTAATTAAAACTTTCCTATAGGACATTAACTTTCACAACTATTTTAATCTAAAAAATAACCAATGGAACATTCAAGGCAGTTTAGGCTTGTTTTTTCACATTTTTTGCATTTAAAATTACATGGTTTACACTTAAAATCTTTTATGTCTGCAAAATAAGAATCACTACATTCCGATAGACATACATTAATTTATAAAAATGTATTATTTTTGCATTAAGTACATTAATTATTAATATTTCCTGTACACTTAAGACAATTTGTATCACATGGTTTACATTTAAAATCATTTAAATCACCAAAATAGGAATCCGGACATGTTTATATACATTAGTTATCTATATTTAAGAAATACCCATCTATACAAGAAATGCATTGGTTACTATTTTTTCCACTACAAGATAAACACATAGCATCACATTTTTCACAAATATATATATTTTATATATCCAGTATTTTAAAAGTCTTTTCTGGACATTCTATTAGACATTTATTTTAATATAAAACATAGTTTTATACACATTATATACAAAAACTAGCCTAATCTTAACATTTTTAGCAATTTTCAATACAATCTGTACATTTAAATTCTTTTTAATCGCCGAATTATCCTTCTGGGCATATTTTAGTACACTATTTTTCCTTTGTTAAGTACATATTATTCCTACAATCTATACATGTGTCATATTGAGTACATTTATTACACATAATATTGCATTTTAAGCATCTTATTTAAAAAAAATCTACATATTCACCATCTGGGCATATACTAACGCATGAAAAATTCACTTCTCCTTTAAATAAAAACCCATTATCACATTCTTAACAAATTTCTAAAGAATTACACTAAAGGCAATTATTCATACATTTTAAACACTTAAAATTATCCCCTTTATAATATTTTTAAGGACAATCCTACACACAGCTGTTTTCTGTTGTTAAATATTTCCCATAGTTACATTCTAGACAATTATTTTATGAAGATCCTGTACATTAATTGCATGTACTATCACATTTTTCGCATTTTTTAGTATCTTTATCAGCATATTTGCCTTTAGGACATGTCTATATGCATACGTTTTCCTCTGAATATGTATTTAGGCTGCAATATAGGACACATTAGGTGTTTTATAGACTATAAGGAAAGTAGCATGATGTGCAAACTGTAGTATTTTGAGTGTCTTCAAAATGACAAGATGAACATTTAGCGTCGCAATTTTTACATATGCCTGATTATATGTATTAATGGGGCTCACAAGATTAAGATAAAAAAAGTTAAATGAAATATAAGTATATTATATATATTTTTAACATTTTTAAGTATTATGTTATTTTTTTATCCTTTATTTATTTATTTATTTTTTAGTTAAAAATTTAAAAAAATTATGTAATATATAGTTAATATTATTATTTATTTAATTTTTAAATTATTTTCTTGTGTATTTGCATATTTACAGCATTTACAATCAAAACTGAAATAACTGTAACAAAAATACAGAAATTTTCATAAATAAACAAATGAATAGTAATAGTAATTCTTTTAGTAATTATTATATTTAAATAATTTAAAAATATTTGATTAATTTTTTATTTTGAAAAAAATATTTATTATATATTATAATTAAAACAAAATAAATCATAGTATATATAAATGAATATATGATTTAATAATAATTTAGGTTTTTATTATTTTCTAGGCATATTTTTATTATTTGTATATAATACTTCAATAAAAGATATTATAAAAAATAAGTAAATTATAAAAAAAAAATTAATTTTTAAAAATATATTAATTTTAAAATAAATAAAAATAATTTGTATTCTTTTTTTAATATTATAAAAATAAAAAAATAATTCATATATTAATTTATTAACAATATTAATTAATTTTATTTTTATTAAAAAAAGAAATATTCAATATATTTTTCTTTTAAATTAAAATATAAATTAAAATTTTAAATTAAAATTTTAATTATAAAGTTTTAAAACTTTAAAATATTAATTTTACAACAAATTATAAATATTATATAATAATTTTTTTGTTTTAATTTTTTTGCTTTATTAAAATAGATCTGATTAATTTTTAATTTATTTATTTTTAAAAACAAAAAATAAACGTGAAATTATAAAATGTTTATGAAATTTTAAACAACAAAAAAAATGAATTAAAAAAGAAAAAATTTTAAAATTCTAATAATAAAAAAAAATAACTTAATATTTTTTATAAATATAAATATTTAAATTATATATATATTAAATATTAAATAAAAATATTTTATTTAAAATTAAAATAATATATATATATATATATATATATATTGTTTATTTTAATTATTAATCATATTACTATATCAGAAAAGAATTAAGCATATCTTTTTTTTATAACATTAATTAATTATAATTATTATTTTTAAAATAATTTTATATAACTATACGAAAATATATATAATATTTAATTTAATAATTTTTATATATAATTATATTATTAAATAACATTTGTAATACATTATAAGGAATATGAATATTTTATATAAAATAATACTTAATATTGATGTTTTTTTTGTTTATAATTTTTTTTTAGTAAAAATAGTAGATAAGTACAAATATACTAAATTAATTTATTTATAATCCTTTATATAATTAAGTAATAAAAATGGAGGTTATAAAAAAAACTAATATATTTAAATAATATTTAATTGAAATAATAAAAAAATACAATTTAAAAAATTTAAAATAAATATAAATGAAAAAATAAAAAAATATAAAGGTATAAAATTATAATTATAAATGCTATATTTATTATTAAAAATAAATAAAATTAAATAATAAAATAAAGATAATTATTTGAAAAGAAATAAAGGATTAAACTAAAAATAATAAAATATGTATATATTTAATACTTATATTAAACAAAATAAAAAAATAAATAAAAAGATGTAAAAATAAAAAATCATTAAAAAAAATAATAATATAAAATTTAATATATAATAAACTATAAATATATATATAAATAGATATATAGATATATATTTATATATATTCATTTATATTTATATATATATATATATATAATTATAATTTTTATTTTTCATATAAATACAATTTTATTTTTATATTTTTTTTATTATTTAATTAATTTAATAACAGTATTTTTTAATCGTCTTTTTTAATTAAAATATTTTTGTGGATTATTTCTTTATTTTTAAATATAAATATAAAAAAAATAAATTATTAAAAATAAAAAAAAATGAATTTTTGTAAAATAAAATAGTTTTATCTTAAATTATTTAGTTTATTTTTTATTTTTTAATTTTGTTTAGGATTAAAATAAGTTATTTTTGAGTAAATCAATTAAAATTAAGTATATTTATTCTTTTTTTATTTATTATAATTATTTAATATTATAAAGACTGATTTTTAAAATTTAATTGATATATAATTACCTTAAAATACTAAATAATTCATTATTATTAAACTCTCATATAATATTTAAACATTAAATCCAAATCCTGCATTAATATTTTATAATAATTAATTTTAAAAATCTACTTTATAAACAATAAAAAATCCAGATGATTTAATAAGAAATAAAATTATGTTTGATGCTGATAGTATATTTATTTATTTATTATAAATAAAAGTGATTAATTTATACAAATATAGGTTTTTATTAAAATATTAATGTACATTAATTATATTTAACTTTAGATTAAATATAGATTTAGACTTTATATATTTCTATAATAAATTTTCAAAAAAATTCATTTTTATATAATTTATAAGTTTTTTAAGATGGTAATAATAAAAATAAAAAAAATTAAAAAAATTAAAAAAAGATGATTATGATTGTCCTAATAATTGTAATAATCCTTAAGGAGTTTGCCAAAGTCATGGGAAATGTAATTGTTCAGTAAATTTTATAGATTTTGATTGCTCTAAATATGCAAATAATTTAACTTAAGGCTTAGTATAGAGTTTTCTCATTTAACCTAATGATATTAAATATTTATATTTTAATCTTAATTAAAATGATTAATCTTATATATTATAAATGGAAAGACTAGAAGGTGATTTTGATGTTTATATGAAGTTTAAAGGTATTAAATAAACAAGTTTACCTTATAAAAATTTAAATTAACTTGAATAATCTTTTTACGAACTGAATGCTTTTAATGTGGAAATTGTTGGTCCAAAATCAAATCAAAAAAACAATAATAATTATAATTCTATATTTATAATTAGAATTGAAAATAGTAATTCTTTAAGTTGGTTTGGAATAATATATAATTTAAAAGAATAAAATTATGATAATGAGTTTTTATTTAAAATTATTTATATCACAGTTTCTTGTTTAATAGGGATTTCTCTTGTTTTTGCTTTAATTTGTCTATGTATAATTTTTATATTAATATATATTTATAATATAAATAAAAATAGATTAAATATATAAAAGAGATTAACTTTTTGCTTAATAAAGAATATAGGTATTTTTATTTAAATTAGAATATAAAATTAATATATAAAATAGAGATAAAAAAATAAATAGAAAACTTTGGGTTTTGATGATTTAGATAAATATATACCAGTAGTAAAGTTTGTAGAAATAAAAGATTAACTATTTAAAAAATCAAAGTAATAAGATACAGGAAGTTGTGTAGTATGTTTATGTGATTTCGTAGATGAAGATGAATTAAGAATAACATATTGTAAACATATATTTCATAATATGTGTATTGTAGATTGGCTAAAAAAAAACGAAGTAATAATTATATAGATATATAATTTTATATAGAAAAATATATATAAAAATAATAAAGATATATATATAAAAATTCATATAAATATATAAATAAATAAATATATAAATATATATATATATATATATATATATAATTATATATAATTTTTATATAGAATTGTCCTTATTGTCGATAAGAATTAAATTTATTAGTATTATAGAAATAATTTTAATAAGGTGAAACTAACGCTCTTAAATGGCTTAAACAATTAGATGTTTCTTAATAATTTAATAATAAATTGTAAAATTTGGATTAAGATATTTATTAGCCAGTGGAACAGTAATCATTAAATATTTAAAAATTGTAATTAAAAAATTAAGGTTAATAATAATCTAATGATGAGAATTAACATATACAAAATAATTAAATTTAAAATAATATAGAACATACCCCTTAAGGTAATCCAGATTAAAACACACCTAATTAATAAATTTAATTTTTAGATTATAAAGAAGTTTAAATTTAATAAAATAATAATTCAAATATATGAAGAAAAACTAAATTAAAAGAGTTAATTTATTTATTTAAAATGATATAAATAATTAAATTTTTATTTTTTTAAATTTATTATATTAATATATATAATTTAAATTATTATTATTATATACATTTTCATTATTAACAAAAAAACTTAATAACAATTCAAAAAAACAAAATAAAAATATTAATAATATAAAATAAATATAATAAAATAAAACAAATAAATCAAACAAAAATAATAAATATATATATATATATATATGAATAATCCTAACAGTAATAATAACGACGAGAATAATTAATTAGTTATAATAGAAGAAAAGGTCCTAAAGTAAAATAGCGAAGCAATAATAAAAAAATACATGCGAGGCCGTTTTCTAGGAAAAGGTGGTTTTGCAAAATGTTACGAAGCAACAAGTCTAGAAACAAAAAGAACATGTGCCATAAAGATAATACCCAAATCAATTTTAACAAAAAATCGTGCTAAATAAAAATTGATATCTGAAATAAAAATACACAAGAGTTTATCCCATTAAAACGTTGTAATTTTTGAACATGTATTCGAGGATAAAGATAATGTGTATATTTTATTAGAGTTATGTAATAATAATACTTTGAATGAATTAATAAAAAAAAGGAAAAGACTTACTGATATAGAAGTTTAATGTTTTATTAATTAAATTATAAACGGCTTGAAGTATTTACATTAGAAAAAAGTTATACACAGAGATTTGAAATTAGGCAATCTTTTTTTATCAGATAGACTTGAAATTAAACTTGGAGATTTCGGATTAGCAGCTAAACTGGAATTTGATGGCGAAAAAAAGCATACTATATGTGGAACACCGAATTATATTGCTCCTGAAGTATTGGAAGGTAAAACTGGTCATTCTTATGAAGTTGATATTTGGTCTTTAGGAGTTGTTATTTATACACTATTAATTGGAAAAGTGATTATTATTATTTTTTTTTGTTTTTTTTTTTTAAAAATAAATAAAAAATATATATATATATATGTATATATATATATATATGTATATATATATATATATATAATTTTGTTTTAAACTTTTTTTTTTTTAAATAAGATAGCCACCATATGAAACACCTGATATAAAAACTACATACAAGAGAATAAAATAAAACTAATATACTTTTCCTGATAATATTTAAATATCTGAATCTGCAAAACATCTAATTACATCTATTTTAAATTTAGAACCTTCCCGAAGGCCCAGTTTAGATGAAATAATGGCTCATCCATTTATGAAAGGTTAAATTCCAAAATATTTACCTTTAGCAATTTTATAATGTCCTCCTTCATAGTCTTATATAAAATAATTTACACCTGAAAACTTTTAGTAGAAAAATATTGCTTTAAAAAATATGATTTCTTCCCAAGGATTAATTCAAAGCTTGGCTTTTGGAAAAAACGAGAATTCTAAAAATACACTTGGGTAAACTTTTGTACCTCCTAAAACTTAAAGCTCAACTAATATTAATTCCAAGAATGCCTTGTTTATATAAAATAATAATAATAATAATTTGGAATAATAATAAAATATAAGGGCTGTAGCAACTACTAAAAATTGGTTTGGATATTTAAGTTAAAAGAATAATCCATTTTAAATGTAAAAAAGTTAATAAAAGAATTTCACAAGTACTCTATTTAAATAATTTTCTTAAAATTAAACCTCAAGTGAAAAAAAAATTTTCAGAAAATAATCTACTCTTTCAACCTTGAACGAATAAAATTTACCTGCCTGGGTAGTTTAATGGATTGATTATTCATAAAAATATGGCTTAGGGTATATTTTGTGTAATGGATGTAGCGGAGTATACTTTAATGATGCTACAAAGATGATTTTTGAGCCAAGTAGTAATAAAGTGGAATATGTTGAAAGGTAAAATAATTCTGAATAAGATGTCGTTGTTTCTTTTAGTCTATAAGAATTTCCGTAAGATTTAAAAAAGAAAATGACTCTTTTATAACTTTTTAGAAATTATTTAAAAGAATAAAAAAATCGGAGGAAATTATTTAAAAGAAATTTAAAATTTACCTCAATAAAATAATAATAATAATAATACTAATAATATTTATTCTACTAATGGAAATAATAATAATGATAATGGCTTAATTTATGTTAAAAAATGGATGAAAACTAAACATGCAATGATGTTTAGACTTTCAAATAAAATCGTTTAAGTTAGTTTTATTGACAAAACTGAAATTGTACTTTGTAGTGAGAATAAAATTGTTACTTATGTAGATAAAAAAGGCTTGAAAAGTAATTATCCACTTTCTACGGCTTTAGAAAACTCGAATAAGGAAATGGCAAAAAGACTTAAATATACGAAAGATATTCTTACTCATATGTTAAATAATAATGGAAAGGAAATTAATAATTTTAATTTTGATAATTAAGATGTTTTGATTTGATTTATGCTTTACTTTTTCATTTTTTTTATATGGTTATTTTTTCTCTCTTTTTTTATATATTTATTTATATGATTGAATATTTTATTTATTTTTAAAAAAAAAATAAAATAATTATATATAATGTAAATATAAATAAATATATTTAAAATACTATGTTTTTGTTTTGCTTTGTTGTTTTTTTTGTGCGTTCATTTATTTATAATTTATTAATAACCATAATTTTTTAATGATAATTATTAATTTCTCTATATAATATTTATTTAATAAAATTATTAATTTAATACATATTTATTTAATAAAATTAATTAAACAAAAAAAATTACAAGTGTTTAAAAAAATTAATTTTATACAAATCTTTTTTTATAATTTCGAAAAAAAAAAAAAAAAATCTTAAATTAAAAAAATAAATATAACAAAAAATGAAATATACATTTATTTTAATAACTTTATTATTAGTATTTTCTTTCTAATAGGAAAAATAGGAAATAAGTAATTTTTAAAAATAATATTATTAATAATAATATATATAATAAGATGAATTTTAAGAAGAAATAAATACAAAATATGATTAAAAATAAAAGCTTTAATTCTCTATATGTATAGCAACAGCTAGATAACACATCGAAACTATGTTGGGAAATTCATATACTGATTTTATAAATACTTTACAAGAATTAAACAAAAAATAAATGTAAAATTTTATATTAACTGATTTAATAGAGGAATGTTATAATTATATTGATTTCAATGATAATTCAGCTGAAATAATTTCAATTATCAATACTTCAAAGTATTCATAAGATTAATATCCTTAAATGTTTAAGACTAATAATATAGAAAAATATTAAGATGAGGGAAGTTCTTATGAATTAAATGAAATATAAAATGATATTATGAAGTTTATTTAATTACATGATGAATAAAAAGAAAAAAATGAATAATTCTATAAAGTATAGAATGAATAAAAATAATAAGAATTATAAGATATAGAAAGCAAAATGAAAAATTATGATGAGAAAAGAAAAGAAGAAGTAAAGGCTAAAAGAGAAGCTTTAAAAAAGAAAAAAGAATAAGAAAGAAAAAATAAATAAAAAAAAGAATTATGATAAATATTATATATATATATATCAAATATAAATTGTTTTTATTATATTTATTTGTATTTTTTTTTTAAATAAAAACTCAATTAAAAAAAAAAAAAAAGATTAATTAATATACATTTTTATAGTCTATTTTTTTTAGTTTATTATGTAATTGTTGACAAAAAAATAATATATATATATATATATATATATATATATAAAATATAGTATTATATTTTTTCTATTAAAAGATTATTAATAGTTTTTTCTAAAAAATTAATAAATATAAAATAAAAAATAAATTATAAAAAAAACAATTTTTTAATATATTTTTATATTAATAAATAAATATATATTTATATATTTATTTAATTATATTATTATATTAATATATAATTTATATTATTATATTATTTTATTTTTATATTTTTATATAATTATATTTTTTATTTTGATATTTTGATATTTTTATATTATTATATTTTTATATTTTTTATATTCTTTTAATGTTAAATATTTTTAACACATATATATTAATATTAATTATAAAAAAAATTAAATTAAATTTATTTTATTTATATAAATAATATTATTTTTTTTTTTTCTTAAAAATGAATTTTTTTATATCATTTTAGTTTTATTATTTATTAATATATATAATCTACAAAAAAGTTTATTAAAAATTTAACAATTTTTAAAGGTAAATAACCATATCCTATATATAAAATAATAATTAATTAATATAAATATTTTTATTTACCTATATAATAAAAGGCAATTTATAAAATTATTATAATAATTAAATTAAAGACTACATAATAATTATTTAGCCATCTTAAAACATCATCATACATAAAATAAGCTAAAGCAATCCATATCCATTTAGGTATTCCTTATACAAAATTCATATTCTTTTTTTTTTATTTTAAATTGAAGTATTTTTTTTTTTAGTTTTTATACTTTTTTTCTTAAAACATCTTTATATATATCTTCTGATTATTCTTTAAATTAATCTTATATTTTTTTCAATTGGCTTTTTTCAAGAAGAATTTCATATTCCTTTGTTATTTAACTTTAGTTTTAATTTAATACTAAAATACATTCTTTGTAAAAAAAAAAAGATTAAGAAATTAAAAACAAAACAAAAAAATTACTTTTCTAAGATTTATAATTGGCAAGAAAAGCATTATTTTAATTACTACTTGAAGAACAAGAAGAAGAAAAAGAAAGATCCAAATTATTTCTAATTTCACATTTAATAAAATAGTAACCAAAATCATTAATTAAAACCATAATTTTATCTCTATGATTTAAATATTTCACTCTAATCATTTCATCATCTAATATTTTCCAATTCAAAGATAATCCCTCATTATCATAAAGAAACTATTTTTTAAATCTATTTTTTTTTTTAATTATAATATAATTATATATATATATCTAAAAATTTTACTATTAAATAATATAATATAATAAATCTTTAGATTTTAAATAAATTATTTTTTTTATATTTTAATCTGTTTTATTATCAAAATCATCTATACAATCTGCTATTTTTCTATTAGAAAAATAAGATTTTAAATCTTATAAAATAAGGGATTAATTTTCGTTTTTTAAATTAGAATAATATTAATTTATTAAATCCCAAAATTAATAGTTTAAATTGTAAAATTAATCAGTAATGAATTTTTCTAATTCGTTTTTTGAATTTTCTATTTTTTAATTTAAATAGTTTGTTAAACATATATTCTTTTCTTGTTCAAAGAAATTATTTATTTACAATTTAAATAATTCATATATTTTTTAAATTTCCCATAGTTATAAACATTATTAGAATGGAATACTACATTATATTATATTATTAAAATATTATATTGTATAATTTATTAGTTTTTCTAATTATTAAATTGTATTACAAAAGTTTTCTTTTATAATATTATATATATATAAATATACATATTTAAAAAAATATATTTTTATGAATATATTCATATATATATATATATTTATATATATATATATATTTATTTTTTAAAAAATAATTTACATTATTAATTTTATTTTATTTTTTTTAAACTTTTTTAATTTTATTTAAGTAATTCTTATTAAACTTTGTTCATATAACTGATAAAAGCATCCTTACTTTTCATCATTAAGTCGTCATAAAGTCTTTATTTAATATCCTATTTGATTTCGTTTTAATAATAAATAGTTTATTCGTCATAAAATTCAGTACTTTATTAAATAATCTAATTTGTTTGTTTTCCAAAATCTTCTACAATGTTTTTTTCGGCTTTTTTTTTTAATTCAATAAACTTTTCTGAAAAAAAATTGATTGACTATTCTTAAATTTTAATACATCTAATCTAAGCTGCTTAAATTTTCGCATTTGGTAAATTCAAGTCTTAATTATTTCTTATTGTTTCCCATAAATTTTTAATTAACTCTTCTAAAGCATCAATAGGTAAATTACTACTTTACTTATAGTCTTTTAGTAAAAAATTTTAATTATTTTAATGTACAAATTAATTTCTTAATTCAAATAATTATTTATTAAATCTTTTTTTTTATTTTATTAGGAAAAAAAATAAAATTTTATATTTATTTTATAAAGAAAAGGAAATATATAGGTATATTTTATTAGTTTTTTAAAGAATATATATATATATATATATATATATATATATATATATATATATTTTACTTTTCAATCTCATAATGATAATGCGCTAATTTATAAAAATTAATTTTAAAATGTTATTTTAAGTCCACATTTTAAAATTCTTAAGGTTTTATAATATCATTTTACCAAATATCCTGTATTTCTTATAGTAGATCATCACAAATTACTTTAAAATCATCATTTTAATCATTAAAGTCTCTTAAAACGATTAAAATTTATTTAGTTTGGTCATTTTTTTTGAACAATCTTAGATTCATTTCTAATATAATTTTTATAATATTATATTCTGATTCATGTCCTATATTCTATTTAATTAATATTTTAAATAGAAATATATATTAGTCTTTAATAAAAAAAAATACAAGAGTATTTAAATTTATTATAAAAATTTAAGAAATCGCCAAAGCAAATAAAGCAGTTGTTTTTTCATAAAACTTTTTTTTTTTTTTTTTTGTATAAAAATAAAAAAAATAATATTATTATATATAAATATATATATATAAAAAAATACTCCACAAGTTTTTTCAACTTTTCCTCTTTAACGACTATTAGAACCTTCCACATCTAAAATTATTAAATTCTATTCTATATCTCTGGAAATCCATACCCCCTTTGTAGTTTATACTCTACTTTTTTATTATAAAACTTAAAAATTTGTGCCAAATAATATATTTAAGAGTGTTGATTTTCCTGAATTTTAAGCTCCTATAATGGATATTATATTATAGTTTTTTTCAGAGTTATTTAAGCCGGATTCTATTAGGAATTTAGGAAATACATTTCTATATTATTTATTTAGTTTTTTATTTTTATTTTTATTTTTATTTTTTTGGGGAATTTAGATTAAATATTTACTTGTTTAATTGTCCATCTTCAGATATTAAATGGTATTAAATCGTTTTAATATTTTATTATTATTGTATATTTTAATTTATAATCATCTTTTTTTCTTTTTAATATAAATTTTAATATTATTTAATATTTAAGAATATATATTAAAATATTTTTCAAGAATATTTATAATAATAAAATTTAAGAATTTATATATTTTTTTTTTTAATATTTTAAAAATAATTTGTATTTTTTATTTTAATAATATTTTGTTTATTAAATATAATATAATATTAATTATTTTAAGCAAAAATTATAGAAAAGCACTAAAAAACATATTGTATGTGTTTTTAATTCCTATCAATTATTTAAAGGTTTAACTCTAACTATGGTTATTTAAATTTACACATGGTAACATACTTCACAAAAAAGATTATAAATAATATATATATAAAATTTTAGTAAAAACAATTGAATAATCCATAAAAATATAATATAAATTATATTATATAAAAATATACTTAGAATTTAAGATTCCCAATGTTGTAACAATAAGTAATCAGTTATTAAAATTTATTTATGAATAATTTTTTATTTCATTAATAGTATATTTAATTATTTTTTAAAAATATTTTAAAAAAATTTATATATAAATATGTACATAATAAAATAAATATATATTACATATATATATATATA